CTTTTATCAAAGTATTTCATAGTATGTCTTGCTCCGGACTTTTATTAGATGAGTGAAAACAAATATCAAAAATAAATATTGATTAAAGTATTAAATTATATCATACACTTGTAACATTAATCAAATACTATTGTGCACAAAACTGCAGTAAAATACTAATTTTATTTGTTTGTTTAAAATATCTTTTATGCATTGAATTGGATTAAACACCAGGCATAAATATCTATGATCGTTCTCTCCGTAATTTTATTTGTTCAGAGTATTATTTGCTTAGTGTCGGTGTCAATGACTGTCGAGAGCTTTTTAAAAATCAATTCAAATGTAGACCTGTTTGTGTCACCTTGATTTAATCGCTCTGACCACTGGATCAGTTTACATTTCAGTTGTGGTTATTCTTTATCTCCTGTATCAAAGGGAATTTACTATTTATGCTTTAATTTGTGTAATCGCCTTGTTATCATAAGACATAAACTCATGTGTTTTCCTTTGACTGCAATGTCTGATGAGTGGGACATCAGGATGTAAAAAGTATGCACTCATCTCTTGAAGTTGTTGTAATAAAAAGAACTTAAACCTAAAAATCCAACACCTTGAATTTATATTTATTTAATTTACACTTGATAAATTGTATACTTCTATGATCAAGCTTTCTTGCGAATTTTAATGAATTTTTATTGTATAGGTACTCGAGAGTAAACAGAGTTCTTCAAAAACATTATTTTCTTTTTTTAATTGCAGTGGAATTTTATTTTATCTATTGTTAATGGAAATTAACACTAGAGCATTGAAGCCATCATCTGATTTAAAACTTATATAAAGAAAATGAAATGGACGCGACATGACAATTTTACTTACTGCAACGTATAGAGCCAATCGCAAAACCCCTAAAGGATTACATTGTTTGTGACGAGCTGACGCTTTGCTTGTCGAGAACTTTAAATTCTACGTCACATTCTCGCCACATCAAAGGAAGTAGCCAAGATAGCGTCTCTCCCACGCTAAAGTCGGTCAGCTGCAATACACATCGCCGACGTTTAACGAGTTTACAAAAGGGGACAGAAAACACAAATCTTATTAAACAGTTTAAAAAGAGCATTATTTATATTATATGCATTTTTTAGAGTCCATAATAAATTAAAGCCTTGAAAATTTAATTTTATAGCATTTACCATTTGTGTATATGGCACGGTATACATGCGATATAAAAGGATGTACATGATCAATTTAAATTGCTGGATTTTAAGTATTCGTCCTGGTCATTCTTGGATTATGTAGTATTTTAATTGTTTCAAGTCACTAGTACTGTTGATGTGAAATGATTTTTCTGTGGAAAAGAGAAATATTCCGTTTAAGTATCAAACCATGAACTTAAGAACTTAGTATACATAGATTTTTTTTTTACACGTATATCCCAAACAGCCGTATTATATCAGTATAATATGTACTTGTACTTTAAGTATCCATATATAAAAGAACATTTCTGTCAAGAAGAGAAGTATGTCTATTCACAATTGTCAATAATTATGTCAAAATACTAAATTAGAACGGGTGCATAGTTTTGCTTTAAAAAATACACACATGAATAATAACTCTCTCTCTCTCTCTCTCCAGGAAACGTTTCAGTGGATATATATGTATTTCACTGTTGCATCAGTGATGTTTAAAATATGATCAGGTATTTTCGTTAATTTAGCACTCAGTCTCTGATTTTTTAATTATCAGTAAGCACACATTAAATCCATTCTGATTGATCATATACGACATACATGCACTGCTGCAGAGTTTTTTAAATACTGTGCATTATGTAGAAAAGTACTCAAAAGCACATTTTTTGCAATCCTTTATAAAACTGAGATTTCTATAAGAACATGTAAATACCCATAACAGGGAACCCATACTGAGCACTACGTACGCAGAGTTTTTTTAAACAGCAACATATCCTCCATATATGGGGGGGGGGGGGGTGTAGCATGGAAAAAAAAGCAGGTGCGATTTCAGCAACTGTGGGACAACTTTATCAAATGCTAAGACAACTTTTAATAATTATGCGATTCAATGAATATTTATATTGTACTAACGCAGTGGAACTACAAGAGGCCCATGGGCTACATCGCTTACCTGAGCACCGTGGCTAAGAAAATAGCAGTAATCAGCTTAGTATTGAAAGTTTAAATCCATTAAATCCATAAGTGGTCCCAGGGAGTATATGTGAACAGACTTTAATCTTCACTTCTTGAAATTTTCTTCCATAAGTTTCAACATTCTTGGCACTGCGTTTCTTGAGATGATTTTTAAAACATGTCATCAATTGCAAATTTTCATATTTTCTGAATTATCTCCTCTAAGAAGTCAACCTTCATTTGAAAAGACTTGAATACCGTTTATTGAATACCGTTTACCAAAAAATGCTTTGTTGCAAGTTTGCTTAAAATTGGCCCAGTGGTTCTAAAGAAGAACTCGAAAATGTGAAAAGTTTAAAAACGGATAAACGGACATCGGGCAAAATGTGATCAGAAAAGGTCACTTTGAGCTTTCAGCACAGGTGAGATAATAAAGACTAATTGATATCAACTTTGTTGTGTTACATACAGCACAGACAAGTAAATTGGCGACAAAAGTGTAAGGGGGAGGGGGTATGCTCTCGTTTAAATCCGATTCGTTTTTCCCTTCAAATACGTTAGATCTGACGGGCACATAACATAAGGGCCAGCCCTCTACCCACCCTACTTTTTTTTCGTTTCAAACATATTGTTCGAAAGGTTCATTGAAAGGCTTAACGTTTTAAGATACTTTACAACCGCTTAAGTAAACAGTTTCATGTTATTTTAGTACATGTATATACTAAAAATATCAAATCGTGAAAATTATTGTGCATTTATTTTTAATTTTTTTCGAGAACAGTCTATTTATTTTTCAAAATCTGCAAGGCCCATCTCTAGGAATTAGATTTAGGCTTTTTGACATAGGCGTCGAAACCGGCCAGCTGAGAGTGTGTGTGTGTGTGGGGGGGGGGGGGGGGGCTTATCCAAAGTTAGACTTAGTATAGACATTGAACATTGCTGCGTAGGTATACCCACGAGTTTTGTGTTTTGAAAATACACATCCCTTGTTTTTGTTTGTGTGCTGGTTTTTTTTTTTTGCTTCTCAGGTTATTTTGGGAGGTCTAAAAAATTTCTTAGCCCCCACTTTAATTTGCTTCCGACGCCCATAATAATTAGATATTTTCCGTCGTTTGGTATTAATTACCTTGTACATACAACATTCGTTAAAACTTAAAAATAAATTGAACTTCAATCGTTAAAATTTGAAGATAAATAGACACGTCTTCCCAGGTCTTCCCTCTTTATCTTTTCTCTCGAATATACGCATAAAGAGGGTATCAATTATTCACCAGTATATTTGTACCAAATTGCAACAATCTCAGCATGCATGACTTGGGTTGATACGGGTAACTAATAAAACTAATGATCAATGAATCATGCACTACTCGACTTTTATACTTGTTCGCAAATATGAAAAAAAGTAAATTTTGCGATAATAGAATAAAATAATCGACCAATGAAATATTCGTAATGGACTGAAAAAAATCTTTACATTTTTAAATTCAAGGTTTAAAAAAACTTTTTGTTTAATTCAAGGTTAAAAAAACTTTAAACTTTGCAGGTAACATTCAAGAAAACGACATCGTGACTGTCTACTCCATTTTTTGAACCCCGAAAACAAGCTGTATGTTGCAGCTGACCGACTTTAGCGTGGGAGAGACGCGATCTCGGTTACGTCCTTTGATGTGGCGAGAATGTGACGTAGTATTTAAAGTTCTCGACAAGCAAAGCGTCAGCTCGTCACAAACAATGTAATCCTTTAGGGGTTTTGCGATTGGCTCTATATACATTTACATAATATGCATTTCAAAATTACATGTGGTAGCTATAAAACTCTGAATAGGATAAAAAGTTCAATGAGATGTTCCTTATCTAAAAAGGGGGTAAACCAAAGCTTGCTGCAAAATATCTCATTAACCTCATCAAATAAGCCTTACGTCGCGGGTTCGAATCCCACTGTGGGACGTGGAGACCGGTCCTTCGGATGAGACCGTATAAACCGAGGTCCCTTGTCGCAGTAGGTGTTGGCACGAAAAAGATCCCTCCCTGCTCAATGGCCCTGAGTGCCGAGTATAGGACAAAATTTGCAGCTCTCCACCGGCAAGTGGTGGCGTCTCCATATGAGTGAAAAATTCTCGAGAGGGACGTTAAACAATATACAATCAATCAAGCAATCATCAAATAAGAAGGATTTTGAATTTTATACATGCTTAAATCACGGAAGTCACATCTGTTTTTATATTTATACTATTGAATGGCACAAAAGATCAACTATAGCCAGCCACCATTTGCCGGATTACATCTCTTCAATTCCATTCAATGGAAAGAGATTTTGTTAGGATAGGTTGCATGGTGAGAATAATAATAAAAAAAGTATGACATTCAATTTTCAAAATTAATCTGTGGAATAAAATATGATGAGAACAAACAGTAATAAAGCCAGCAAAACAATACAATTTGGAAGCAGAGCAAACACGGACCTCTAAAAGCATCAAAGATGTGATCAGGTGGAATGAGCAGTCACACTCATCGCGTGTTCCCTTTTATGATCGGCGGAATGGGGGAAATCGACGTCAATTCCAATTTACAACTCTTCATCTAATATAACTGCCCTAAGTTTAAAAATATTAATAGGGCAGTTTTGTTAGTTTAAGAGTTGTTGTAAATTGTACTTTCTAAATAAAATTAATTTCATTACAAAGTGTATTGGCAACGATCCTCTAGTAAAACTAATTTCCTAATAACACTGTGATCTTGTTTCAATTATCACAGTGATATATATCACATAATTTTAAAATATCTATCGGGCTCGAGATTAATTATTATATAACCCGGGTATGTTATTGAAACAATTAGATAGAACTGGTTCTCTGCCCTTGATTTCGGGGCGCTTGTCCTGGTACTAGCTAGTCTACGAAAGATATTTGTTTCATTTTTCTCTCTTAAAATCTTTGCAATTGTGTAAAATACGATAATAAAACTGTGAAAATTATTGATACTGTGCAAATGCATTCGATTTTTCAAAGTGATGGACATTTATATTCATAGATTGGATTAGATTGAGAACACGTGCTTAGGTTGAACAATTCAGAATTAAGTGTTTCAGGAGAACATGTGCGGTCATTTTGGTATGCAGAACTTGACGGAAGAAAGTGAAAGAAATACTGCGTCAATGATGCGGTTTGAGTGCATGAGAATTGCTTCCTTTCGTAATTTTCCCGATTATCTTCTAGTCAGCTCATTCCGTCTTGCCAGAGCTGGGCTTTACTACACCGGATATGGCAGTGAGTGCCGATGTTACTTCTGTGGATTTCGTCAGGATGACTGGAACCGCCGGATTTCTCGAAATCACTGCGATCATTCTTTGGATGGTACACCGGGTGCCAGCGAATATAGTCCATTACAGCTGCAGAGAAATGATGAATCGGCAAATAACTCAAATGTTGCTCTTAGTAGATCGGTTCTTCTAATTAACAATAACCGATATAGAGACAGATTAGATAGTTTCAGAAATTGGCCAAGGCAAATTACCCTGAGGCCAGATGAGTTGTCTGCGGCTGGATTTTTCTACTCAGGGTGTGGAGATAGGGTTCAGTGCTTTTCCTGTGGTGGACAACTGCGCGGATGGGAACGAGATGACGTGCCTTTTCATAGGCACCTCCGTTGGTTTCCTGATTGCTCATTCATCAAGCAATGTTTTCAGCAGGTATAGTGATGATTGTTAGCTTTGATTTAGCTTCGCTGCATTTTCACACATGTAATACAATATATTAATGTTTACAGTTATAATGTCCTCTTTCAAATAATTTTTTTATTCAAACAGAAGAAACGCGTATCTTTCATGTGAAACGAACATAAACATCTATTTATAGATTTATATTATTATAGGGTTTTAAAATATTAGTCTAGATGGTAGGTTACATTGTAAAGGAAGACTTTTTCGTATTAAATTACAGCCACTAAGCTTTGCGCCTACAAGTGTGCCGTCAGGTGTCGACCAAAGAGTAATTAGAGAGGTATTACAATGTGGATTCCACCAGACAGACATTGAGAAAGCAATCTGTGAACTTAGCATCAGAATGAGTAAGTGTAATATCAAACAAACTAAAGACTAAATATGTTTTAATTCATTTAGCCATGAAAATTAAACTCCTTATTTTACATAAATGAAAATAAAGCCTGATTTTAAGTGAATTTTTCGGTGCTCAGTGATTAATTTAGATTTTCCAACATCTGCTGAGAGAGAAATGCATATGTTATTGTTTAAAATAAACCTCAGTTAAATTTTGAAAAAGGCAGACATTTTTATTAAATGTACATTCGTTATGGTTCTTTCAGAATAGTACAGTACATATGTATCACTTATTTTAAAATAGTCACTGAAGAAATCACTGCCATGGAGATTCTGCAGTTTCTCTATCAGGGAGAGCAGGAGACTGAGGACTTTCATCATTCAAGTGAGAAAAGGCTTAATTATATTGATGATTAATTTCTACTTGTATTATGAAAAATTTCCTGATAGTGAAACACCCTTTTTATGTCTATTTTTCCTTATAGTTGTGGGACCTTGTGTTGTGTGTGTCAGTGAAGAGAGGGGCACGCTGTTCTTACCTTGTACTCACATCTGCTGCTGTCGTGGTTGTGGACAACGGTGCTATCTATGTCCACTTTGTAGAGCCAGGGTAAAGGCGCGGATCCAGGTTTACATTTAAGGAAGTAATACCATATGCATAACTATACACCTCTGATGTTACAGATTTTCTATTTACAGTGGGATATTCCCTTAATGCTGTGTATATATCGATTTATAAATTTTATAAGATAACTTACCATTTGTTTACTTTTTTACAGTTTGTATATCTAGTCATCAAACAAGATTGATATACAAAAAACGATGAATGGATTATATTTTTCTAGTCCTGTTATGTTAATTTCTGTATAATCATAATTGTTATATATCTTGCCCCATAAGGCTCTGTTATAAAAATTTATTTTGCCTTTTTTCCATTCCAAAGATTTTTGTTAATTTTTGCCAAAGTTATGTATATCTGTAATTTTACATTGTTTAAATATCCAAAGAAATCCATGTCTTTCTCACAAATTTTATACATAGGAATTGACTTATTTTTTGGTACCTATGAATGAAAAATGTTAATGTTGAACATATATTGTATGTTAAGTTTCATTTGTTTCGTTTAGGAGAAAAATATCGTAATTTTTAGCCGGGCTTATTGCTCAAAGAGCAATTGCCGGCTTATGTGATCCTGTTCAAGGCAGGATGTTGACCCCATAGTCGCCATTTTAAATTTACGTGCAAAAATATAGTTCTTACTCTCAACCGCTTTTGAGATAAAACAAACACTAAATAAAGCAACAAAAATAAAACGAAGTTTTATCTGTATAAAATAAACATTAGTAGTAATGACTTTGAAAACTTCAAAAGTCAAAGAACATAGTTCATTAGCGTAAGGATTTTTGATAATCAGTATTACCGTAGTTCTCTACACATACGAGGTAAAGCAGGAGAGGTAACCAGACTGGCCTGTTTGTTTACATTCAGCTGCGTTACCAGATTAATTCTGATTCTGACAAAATCGGACCGTGGTAATAGGATTGAAAAACTCACTGTCAGTGTCTTATCATTTATATTGATAGTTTCAAAATAATTTTTTAATCAGAATATAAACGTGATTCATGTAAGAAATCCATTCTACTCTGTAAATGAGCCCGGCTCTCTGTACTTCTGAGTACTTTGATTTATTCAATGTAGTACTGTTGTGTAGTTTTCTCATACTCAGGTTGATACTGCCAATATGTTGTAGTTGTTTAATTGCTGACTCAATTAAATACAGTTTGTTGTTTGTTCAACAGTATATAAAGTTGTGGGGTTATGCAATTAAATGACTATATTTACAAACCAATTGTCTTTCAAGGCATTAATTATACGCAATTTTTAATTGTAGTTTAATCCTGTTTTGAGTTTTTATTCAAATGTACGGGATTTTTTAAAATACATTTTTATGGCAGATTAAAACTACATTTTATTAAATTTGACAATCCATGTTGTTGAGTTATTTATTTGTTCAAATATTAAATGCACATTATTTTATCACTGCTTGAATCTAACCACTTATAACAGTTTGTAGCATTTAATGAGGATATGTGAAGATAACGGATAGTGCTCAATAGATGAAAAAGTAACACATAATGCAAATCTATAAACAAGGCATAAAGATCGAGTCCCTTTCAATTCCAGAGATAGGTTTAATAAAAATGAATAAACAGAAAACATTTATTAATAACAAATAGTTTATTCATATTCATTTAATAAACCTTTGAGGAATCTACATGGATACAAACGACAAGGGATGCTTACTTCTCCATGGCACCTGATCCCACCTGTCTGTGGTGTTTTAGAGGTCCTTGTTTACTTCGTTTCTGATTTGTTACCTTTTGATAGACCTATGAGCTTGGTGACTGTTCCTTATTTCCTCTTTATGTCAACCACGTTTTAAGACGGGGCTCTTACTAAAAATATTTAGCCTATTTCTGAAGTTTTGCAAATATATAAATGTATACATAAACTTTCTTATAATGTCGATAATCCATAGAAGTTTTAAACTACACTACGGTATATTTATTTATGTGTGTTGGTTTCAGATAATCTCACCTTGGCGAAAAGGAATTAGTATACGGTGGTCAGATTTAGGTAAAATGCAAACTTTGACAGCATAACTGATAGTATTTTTCCCATTTCTGCATCATACATTTAAGTTTTAACAATAAAGAACTTGTCCCAGAAAAGTTCTTGTTACTCATCCAGGAAATGTGTCAGATTCAGCACCAAAAGCTATTATGAATATATATATATATATCATTTAGATAGATAGAAATTATTTAGGAATGGTCCTGCTGAAAAATCTGTGTCGCTGACATCTGCACCAAAGATACCTGGTATGTACACCATGAGCTTTTATTATTTATTAGCCCTATCTGGACCGAATTTACATTGATACATGGTATAGTTTAAGCTTATTTTATACCTTTACCTGGACCATATTTGCACTGATGATGCATACTAGGAGTACATATTAGAGAGCTTGCATCTGATACATAATCGTGATGTTATCATTTTGGACAGCTGGGTTTTTAACAAATTAACATGTCTATTTCCAAGAAAGAAAATAAGATCTATCTTGATTTAAAATACATGAATGCTGCATTTAGGGATGCAAACTATCAATATTGCTATTTTAAAATGCTATATATGAGTACATTTTCCGGTTAAATGGCAAAGTGATTATTGTTAAAGCATGTCCACTTTCAAAAAAATTGTAAGCCCTATAGCGACCAAATATTTATAAAGAATGTACTATAATTAGTGAAAGGCCTGGAACTATGTCATTTATACAGTTGATCGCATGACAATGTGTCTTCCAGCAATCAAATCCACTTTGGATACTAAATTTACAATTCCTTTGATGAAAAAACATATTTTGTGTGAAAAAGTCTTCAGTGCTTAGATATCGAACATCTGATACATAATTTTCACATTTGTTTATGTTCATTTTTATTCTATACATGTAGATCTAATTATAGTCCTGCTGGACATGTCAGTACAGGTGATGTATAAACATACTGAGTAGTTAATAATAAGGACCTTTAATCCCTTATTTGAAAAGGAAAGAAATTTAGAGAACCCCGTTCTTTCAACTGGCGTCATAATTCTATAAATTGTGTGATGAGTAAAAAATAGAATATTTAATGTATTGAAGGAGAAACTTCAGGAGTATTGTACTGCACTATATTTAAGAAGTAGTGTAAATCAGATATGGATAATATACTTAAGACTCCAACATGTCCAAATTTTTTAACTTTTAAAACATATGAAATCACCATAGTTTTTACTAAAGTCAGCATCATCAAAACGACCGACTTTTGAACACGTTATACAACCATTCCCCACGAAAAATTAAGATCCTGGCTTTTTGGCATCACAAAATCAGCTGCATGCTCTTTTAAAAATATAACTCGTAAATATACCTTCCTCCCCAATGGTCATTTGCAAAATTATTTTGTTAAAAAGCATTCTGGTTGTACACATAAGTTGACATCAAAAAGATGCAAGTTTGAGTTTCTGATTCTCAATATTTATGTAGCTTTTGGAAATCGATCAGTTCTTCCTACAATCTGTTATCCAGAAATCCTATCATGTACCGAATGCGACCCGTTATTAGCAGACCTATATTTGTATTCATATGAAGTAGAATTTATTCAAAAACCTATACAAGAAGAAGAAAACACTTGCTGTAGCTTTCAACTCCGCATTTTGATTTATCGACGACATATTATCAATTAAGTTACAATTCTATTCATATGTCAACTTGATATATCACAGTGAGCTTGGAATAAAAGATACCATAGAGGTCAGACACATCTGTTTCATAATTAGATATTTTACTAAAAGACAAATTAATGGTAACCTAACAACAAAACTTTATACATGATTGTAATAAACATGAAAACTAACTTCAATTTTTCAGTCATCAATTCCCCTTCCTCATGTAGGAATAAACCCTCATCAGCTGCACATTGGGTTTATATCTCTCAGTTGATCTAATACGCAAGAGCATGCTTTATGCATGAACAATTTCTAAAACAAGTCAAGCTATTGAATTCAAGTTAATAAAACAATGATATCACCAGTCCCCCTTGAAGTTTTATCATTTTACAAGTTTTATGGTCTATACAATGACCTTGTCAGCACATACAAGTACAACCTATCATTGAGTTCAATACCGACTGACGTTTTCATGAAACATATGGAGATAACAAACAGTATTCAAGATCAAAAGTCCATAAAACAAACAGAAAGAGGCAATCAAAATGATTTGGTATTACAAGAAGAGCAAAAGCTTTCGAAATTCGACAAAGATTGTTTTTTATGTTTTCCAGTTCAAGTACGATGAAACATGTGACAATAACGAACAGTTTTCAAAATCAAAAGTCCATAAAACAACACAAAACAGAAGCAGAGCAAAAGTAAACCTCCAAAACATCAGAGTTGGGATCAGGTGCCACGGAAGAGTATTTTGTAATAAATAAAAAATCAGAATAATCTACAGCTACACACACATTCGTTTCTTCCCTCATAAAACATAGAATTGAGAAACAATTGAAAGTATGACTACGTCAAAGAATTCGAAATCTCATGTCATATTTGATGGAGGTATTTTTTATTTTGTTACGGATGAAAAACGTACAATTCATTTCAAGATTTTCAAAACTTAAGCTATGAATTGGAGCTGTGAAATTCGTTGAATACAGTAAAGTCACAGAAAAACATTTGTTAACTTGGAAAAGAGCCGTCATGGGAAAGAAAAAGAATCCTACACCAGACAATTCTTTTATATTTATTTGGAATGCCTTGAAAGAAACAGATTTGTCACCTTATCTATAGAACAAAAATTTTTGAGAACAACAATCCTCGTTTCAAGGAAAAAAACGCATGCAGTTTACTTCAATTGTCAAACGGAGAGTCAGTATTTATGGCAGATATTGGGGGATATGGTTTGAGGATTCTTGCTGTTTTTAAGATAATTTTTTAATTAGCATTACTAGAAATTCTGCTTCTTAGAAATATCAGTATAAGTTAATACCAGTAGGCTATTAAAGAGGTCCAATATAAAGATACTGCCCTGTTCACGGGTTTGTATTATTTGCAGCTTGTTTTGAGATATACATACTACAATCAACTTTTTTCATAAATTCCGATGGGACGATGGCGGCTGCAGACTATATAAATGCAGTGAATTTATTGTGTAAAAGAAGCTCGATTTCAAAAGTTCTTGAAACTTTGAAAGACAAGTTTAAGAATGTCTTACATATATGTTCAAGAGACATTTTATGTATTATTTAGAGTACGAGTTTCCTACTGTATCAGAGATACAGGGCGGGGCTTGAGGCGAGAGCGATAGCTCGAGCCGGGCCCCGCCCTGTATCTATGATACAGTAAGAAACGAGTATTCTAAATGACTTGTGACATGACCTTTCCAAGGACCTCACTAATTTACATGCGTATTTGGGTACATACCTCCCAACCAATCAGATGATTTTGCAGAAAGTTGATTTAGTATCCCATTTTAAGCATTCGCAACTGAAATGCAGAGTGAGATGGACGTGCAGGTATCTATCATTTTAAAATAATTATTTAAGGGATGCATAAATTAATTTGTTCTCCAAAAATTTTCTTTAGATTTGATTGCGCAGGGTTTTTTTTTCTCTATGCAGCTTTTGCTGACATTTTTTTTTCAGTTTAAGCTACGATTTAATGCAAAACATTTTGATATATAAGAATCATGTGGGAATATTTTTGAAACAAAAATGCTTCGAGAGATCGTAGATTCTGAGAGAAATGTCCGACAATGTCCTCCACCGGTCGTCATATACAAAATTGAAATAAGCAGATGAAAGGAAAAGGGGGGGGGTATTTTACGATCATGTTTTCATTAAAATGTAGAGTAACTATAAAAAGGGGAATACAGCACTCACTGGTGCCCCCATCTCACCTCCTTTGAGTTTTTTTTCTTTTTCGCTTTCGTAAATAATTTTTTTTCCTAATCTTGTATATATACGCTTTTTAATTCGTCAACAAGTAACGAAATGACGCACATAGGCGTTGGTTGATTATAAATATAACCCCACGGAATACGATTTTCCGTTTTTTTTTTTTTTTGGGGGGGGGGGGTCAAAGTAATAATTTGTGAACTTCCCCACTCCCTCCTTTCTAAAATTTTTGAATCCGACAATAATACCTTTACGTTGTAAATTTTTATTCTTAATTCACCTCAATTTTTGAGTAAATACTAACAGTTCTATGGCGAATTGAACGATTGGTATGTCTGTATATGGATACAGCTTTCCGTCATCGCTAAATATAAACCGTACTGTATCGTTGATATTTTGCAGATACAGTACAGTTTCTGCTCATTTGCATAAGAAACGCCCACAAAAAGTGTTCTGTATCGCAGTTACAGTATGCTTGACTTCAAAGGAAAACTCACTGGGTCATGTCACAATTAAGTGATAGATCTCGAGAATATAAAAACAGAACGATGTATTTTTCTACAGTGTTTGACGTCCCGTTAGTTAATGTAAATGCTGACAAATATACTTGAAAAGCCAATAGCTTTGTTAGGAACACATTATTAAAAATATTAAATATTATCGTCGCATTTTTCTTTATTAGTATTGTAGCCTTTAGCAAACCTTTGATACATTTAATTATGTACAATGTCTTTTTTATTACTATGTACATTCATCATAAAAGGAAAACAGCTTACATTACCCTCTTAAAATCAAATTAAATTTAAAAAAAAACAAAAATATTTATGTAATATATTTATTTCAATTGAAACATATTAACCATACGGGACATGTTTCATATATAAATCGACATAATTGCAAAAATGTTTTTTCATGTTCACTGAAAATCAAAATCTATAAATTGATTTTGATTACAAAAAATTAAAAAAAAATCAAATACAGAAAAATGCATAAGAATGAGTTTTTCGTTGGATTTTTTTGGTAAGTATATAACATATAAATAAAAATCCTCTAGTATTACACATATGTTAAAATTCAATAAAACCACTCGAGGGAAAATGCACACATTAAAAACTGCCTCAATAACAATAACATATTCTGAATCAAAAATTTCTTATTTTGACATTTACAATAGACATGCTTAAATTATGCTTCATTTTGTACAAATAACTTATCTATCAAAAGGCGACATGTTGAACATATAAATCTTTTATATAGATGCTACGACCCCAAAGTTTATAACTGTACATGTGCCATGAACATTACAGTCAAATTATAATTTTAGTAATGATTTATGAAATACTACTGAAATTTGAATTTGAGTTATCGCTCTTTTTATTTGGAGTGTTCGTTATCTCCATGAAACATATGGACATAACAGTATTTAAGTTCAAAAGTACATATAACAATACAAAGTATGAGCAGACCAAACAGGACCTCCAAAACATCAGAGGTGGTATCAGGTAACATGGAGGAGTGAGCATCCCCTGCTGACCATATGTTTCACACATAAAAAGAATAATGAACAGTTAGCAAAGAATTCAACTGAAAAACATTACATAAACTGTAGTTTAATATCTAGTGTTTTTTATCAATGCTCCGAAAAATGTAATTTACTGCCTTTAAAATGACATTGTTATTGACCTGATAAAAAAGATTTGAAAACAAATGCAATAATTTTTCTCGATGATTACATTTTCTTTTCCTCTTTTATGTATGGGGTTACTTTCTACCCAACATACACACGGTGCACGGCTTTGATGTACTGAGAACAGTAGGGACACTGCTCTGCTTCATGTTCACATTCTTCACAACATCCATGACGACATGGTAGGAACATTACACACACTACACGATCACAACACATGCAGCACACACAGCTGTCTGTAATATGTATTTATCATTATATTACAATACAATGAAATTTAGAAAGCTGATTTTTTTTTCATCAATTATGAGATATTTAAACAATAAAAGGTAATTTAGTATGCTTAAAATGAAAGGGGGGTCACTTAGTCATGTTTTTTTTTTTCTCCAGGTATTTAACATGAATATCGTCACATTTAAAGCCTCAACAACAAAAATGTAAGTTTGACAAAACACACCTCCACTGAAGGCTTCCTCCTCCTCCTGGTCAGCCTCAAAGAAGAACCCCAGTATGTCTGTAGACGTCAAATCTCGAATGTCTGAAAAAAGGGTTTTGAAAGGTCTTATGTAATATCAGCAAAAAAGTAGAAAATCTTAAATAAATTCGTGAAAAATTGGTGGTCAATAAGTATTATTTAGAGTACGAGTTTCTTACTGTATCAGAGATACAGGGCGGGGCTTGAGGCGAGAGCGATAGCTCGAGCCGGGCCCCGCCCTGTATCTCTGATACAGTAAGAAACGAGTATTCTAAATGACTTGTGACATGACCTTTCTAAGGACCTCACTAATTTACATGCGTATTTGGGTGTATACCTCCCAACCAATCAGATGATTTTGTAGAAAGTTGATTTAGTATCCCATTTTAAGCATTCTCAACTGAAATGCAGAGTGAGATGGACGTGCAGGTATCTATCATTTTAAAATTTTTAAGGGATGCATAAATTAATTTGTTTTCCAAAAATTTTATTTAGATTTGATTGCGCAGGGTTTTTTTTCTCTATGCAGCTCTTGCTGACATTTTTTTTTTCAGTTTAAGCTACGATTTAATGCAAAACATTTTGATATACAAGAATCATGTGGGAATATTTTTGAAACAAAAATGCTTCGGGAGATCGTAGATTCTGAGAGAAATGTCCGACAATGTCCTCCACCGGTCGTCATATACAAAATTGAAATATGCAGATGAAAGGAAAAGGGGGGTATTTTACCTTCACGTTTTCATTAAAATGTAGAGTAACCAAACGGGGATACAGCACTCACTGGTGCCCCCATCCCACCTTTGAGTTTTTTTTCTTTTTCGCTTTCTTAAATTTTTTTTTCTAAACTTGTATACATACGGTTTTTAATTCATCAACAAGTAACGAAATGACCACATAGGTGTTGGTTGATTATAAATCTACCCCCCACGGAATACGATTTTCCGTTTTTTTTGGGGGGGGGGTCAAAGTAATAATTTGTGAACTGCCCCACTCCCTCCTTTCTAAAATTTTTGAATCCGACAATAATTCCCTTATGTTGTAAAATTGTATTTTTAATTCACCTCAATTTTTGAGTAAATACTAACAGTTCTATGGCGAATTGAACGACTGGTATGTCTGTATACGAATACAGCTTTCCGTCATCGCTAAAAATAAACCGTACTGTATCGTTGATATTTTGCAGATACAGTACAGTTTCTGCTCATTTGCATAAGAAACGCCCACAAAAAGTGTTCTGTATCGCAGTTACAGTATGCTTGACTTCAAAGGAAAACTCGCCGGGTCATGTCACAATTTAAATCTGGGAATACTGCTGAGAAAATATAATACCAAGTGCTTGGGATAACGTGTTGTAAGCTCGAAGAATGTCGTCAATATTAAAAGAGAAATCGAGCACTTCTTTTAAAGAATCCAGATGTTTTACATGATCCAGTGTAATGGTTTCCCTTGTTGTTTGTTGATTTTCTAAATCCTGAAATTAACGAACAAATTATGACAATTAAGTTAACTCAAAAACCTACGGAAGCGTTGTATAATTCAAGTAGATTGCAATAATTTCAGATTAATGTTATGCATATTCTTGTATTTTTTAAAATTAATTCGTCGTTGTACCTGGTCCTGTTGTCTTTGACGGTATTGCTGGACAAATTTACACTCTGGAGAATGCCTAGCGTGTTCCTCCAATGGTATATCACTTGACTCCCATTGCTTCAAACTGATGTTACAAAATGGACAACGCACACAATCAATTCGTCCTGTGTAATAAAATCCAGAGTCCGCCAAATCCATCGGGCGCTGTCTTAAGTAGGGTGGCCAGTTGTGAAATGTTGCCAACCTTTCTGTAAATGTTTGTGGTATGTCTTGTGTATTCCTCACAGATCGGCTCATTGGAGGACATTTTTGTCCTAGAATATCTTGGTCTTTTCTTCTAAGTATTCCATAATCTGACAGATTGTTAGACTTCCTCGTGCCATGATCTAAAGAATCAAATGAACCAGATATATCAAGACTTTGTCCTTGATCAAAACCACTTAAATCAACCGAGTCTAGACTTCTTCGATTTAGCCCATGCTGCCGCAGGCTATTTGCATAATCCTCAGATTCTGATTTCATATGATTTGACTCTTGTGTAGATGTAGAACTATGAGAACTATTGCTAGTTTCAGATGCAGCAACTTCAAGTTTATTTTCAGATTTATTCTCCATCTGTTTAGGCTTTTTTCTTGAGTTCTGTATTAATAACGGTTTATTGACAGATGGATGCAAAACCCGACTTGTCTGTTCCTGTGATAACTGGTTATTTTCTTCCCCTGGAGAACATATACCATTGCCTTCATTTATGGGAATTTTGCTCTCTATCATGTCCCTTGTGGATTGATTTGAGGTAACATTGCTATTTTCTGACGATAAAAACCGAGAGTTTGTCTCTTCACAAATTCGTAAATGTTGGTAAATGGTTGAATTGCTTTCTCTGAAATGAGGCTGGTGACCGGAAGTAAGAGAGTCTAAGGTTTGTATTCTGAGCCAGGTGAAGACATCAGGATCGTTCTGAGGAGGGTTAATATTTAGAGATTGTCCCCGAAAAGAAGCACCTATTCCTTCCCAGAGGCGATTAAAAGAATGTGTACTTGCTGAAAAAGAAATACATTCTGCCTGGGATGAAGGGGCTTGATTAAATTGTGTTGATAAATCATTATCAGCAGAAATATTTCCTTCGAGGTCATGATAAATCGGTTCGTTCGTTTCCCTCCTAAAATTTTCATCACAATGAAATGGAAAATATTCTTGTGTCCAGTTACTTTGTTCATAGCCACAAAAAGTACAACGACAAAGACTCCCTCTACCTGTGTAATAAAATCCCGACCGGGCAAGGCGAATGGTACTCACTGATTGGTGATCAGGAAAAGTATCAAAGCTCAAAACTCTTCTCCACTCATTTCGCATAACAATTTGATCCTCTTCAAACTCAAAATCAGTGGCGGATTTAAGGGGGGGGGGCGCACCCGGCGCGCGCCACCCTAAAATTGTCAAAGTTAGCGTAAATCAAATATGTCTACTTGGTAGACCTCATTTTTACCCTTCAAAATCTCTAGAATCCAGGAGCTTCCGGGGGCTTCGCCCCCTGGGCCCCCACCAGGGCTTTGGTAGACCTCATTTTAACCCTTCAAAATCTCTAGAATCCAGGAGCCCCTGGGCCCCCACCAGGGCTTGGCCCTGGACCCACTGGGGGCCTCAAGGCGGCCCCCAGACCCCTTGCCTATTTTGGCGCCCCCCTAACTCAAGATCCTGGATCCGCTCCTGAAAATGTTCATTACCGTCGGCCATCTTTGAAGATAGACAACCCTTTTCTGTTATTATCTAAACTGTCTATTGAACATGTTAAAGAAATAATCTCGCAAAACTGTCATATTAACACGTTAGGCAAAATCAACTTATTTACGTACTAAAAAGCTTAAATCTTTGAAGACGTTATCGAATAGTTTTGTTTTTTCTTTAATTCCTCTTTCTTTATCCTCACCACAAACCTAGCTTCTTTACCGTATTCTCTACTGTTCACTGTTTGTTTACAACACCTACACAAAGAAAAAATAGTTTTTAATACACTATAAAATAAAAAACTTCATATTTGTTTAAGCCATTTAGACAATGCTTAAAGTAAAATGTTCATGAAGAAAACTTTATAAACGTTCTGTTTTGTTTGAAACACATTTTTCCCTTTTGATTGTTGTGTATCAAAAATAGTTCATGTGTATTGATATTGTACTTGACGCTTGACCTACCAGTGTATGCATGTATAGCGATACGTTTGTATCACTGAGCGACCTATTGCGGGAACATTTAACAGAGGCCTCATACTTAACATAATTAATTTGAGGCGGGTTTTGTTGTGGGGTTTTAATTGCTAAATTTATTATACTTGTTAATAAATACTGATTATATGCTGTTCTGAACCTTTTTTCAGTGCGTATACTCAAACGTATAACGTACCCCAATACTTTCAATTTACTTCTCATGATAGGAAAAACTGTTGGCAAATGCCTTTAACTATATCTTTAACTTAACGTTTTGCAAAAGACTTCGAAAATTTATGTTCAGAGGGAATTGACGAGAACTTCAAAGTACAACAAAGATGTATGCTCCATGTAAAAAACTCGTTACTATCAAATACTATATCAAGTTAAACACTCTTATTCAGGAAACATCTGATACTTAACGGTCGAAGCGTGGCGAGGTCATATTTCCTACTTAAAACACAACAATGTATTTTAGAGGAACTTGGATTTCATTCTACAAGCCAAACAACCAAAATAAATTATAAATACCATATCTATAATGAATTCCGAAAATTCATACAAATTCTTACAAAGATACATAGGGGATTCCAGTAAATGTTCAACCAAGCCTTTTTGAAAATTTTCAAATCCCAAAATTTTACAAAAGTCAACACCTTTAAGACTGATTTTTCAACTTTTTACACCGCTATTCCCGACGAAAAATTCAAGTCCAGGTTTTTTATATCATTTCTATAAAACATATTCGAAATTCACTTATCTTAAGTTGTCATTGGCCATTTGCAAAATTATTTTGTTAAAAAAACATTTTGATTGTTCACACAAGTACTCTGAAATTGACATTAAAAAGGTGCTTGAGTTTCTGATTGACAATATCTATGTGGTTTTTGGAGACCAGGTCTTCCAACAGTCTATTGCGATTCCTATGGGTACCAATTATGTCCCGTTATTAGCAGACGTATTTTTACATTCATATGAAACAGAATATGTCCAAAATCGTATGTGAAAAGAAGAAAATATACTTGCTGTGACCTACAACTCGACATTTAGCTATATTGACGACGTCCTGTCAATTAACAATGATTATTAACATTCTCATGTCGATACGATATATCCCAGTGTGCTTGAGATGAAAGATACTACAACATCTGACACATTTGTTTTAAATTGGATATTTTACTGCTCTAGATTTGTATGGTTTCAATGACCCTTTGAGCTTGATTACTGTTCTTAATCCTTATATTTCATCTATAGTTTTCTTTATTTAATTCATTCCGTCCAATCTTTAATTCAACTGTACTTATAATCAAATCATTTGAAGAGATGAAAATATCTTAATATGAACATAGGTACATTTTTTTTTTCAATTTGGCCTTCCACATTTTTCCAGAGTACTCAGTAAATAGTCAATGTATGGCTGAACTGTACTTGCTTCATGTGGGCCTGAGTCATTTTTCAAGTACGATCAAGTTTTGAACTGAGGGAGGCAATTGACAGATAATTATAAATTGATGTTACACAGGAGTTTCAGAAATTCTGTGGTCGCTATTATGACATTGTAAGCAAATATAACCTAACCAAGGGTCGAATTTTGCATGACGTATATCGTACATTTCTTGTGTTTTTTCTTAAGTTTTCTCATTTGATTTTTTTTTTAAATAAAAAAAGTTCTGAAGACCTTTAATCTTTAAACCTTTAAATGGTATAAGGCATCAATGCGCAATTTCATACATATATTTTAGATCTATCGATATCACTTTTCGTCATCTTCTTCCTTTTTTAATGGTATAATAGCCTATGCAAATGTTAAATGTCTCATTTTTGTACGCGGTGCTATCTATTTCCTATGCTGTTGATTCTATGATAATTGTTTAATCTGATGAACCATTTGCTTTTAATGATAATAATAACTGGGGAGTTTTAATGTAGGAATATTTATGAAAGATTTTTTTCAGGAGGCCCTCTTTAACAGAACGAAGATTTTTTTTTATTTAGATTTATTTAATTATATATTTTATATTAAAACAAATTTAAAGTTTTTTAAACATCTTTTACAAAAAAAAAAAATGAAACAATTTGGAAAGCATAACACGGTGTCTAAATCGCAGTGTTTCTGTGATATCATGTATGTCATTGTTCATTTAATCCCCCAAATAAATTTAGACAGGATCATACCACTGGAGTCTATTAAATTGCCACTTTGACATAAAAACGATAAAGCGCTCTCATTACCTACTTGTATCTGTTTACATAAAGAAGGATATGGAGATAACGAACAGTATTCAATCTCAAAGTCTATTAAACAATATACATTTATTAAACAATATACATTTATTAAACAATATACATTTCAAACATTCAGATTATATGGCTGGCGTATATTAAACATGTATATGCAGGATATGTGTAACCACTTTATCATAAAACATTGTGCAATGTTTGTGTTGGTCAAGTCAAATTATATATGGCGCATATATCTTAATTTATCATTATCGAATCATGTAAACTTCACACATCTTTGTTTATGCAAGTGAATATAATAATAGACTGGTTTAAAAACAACCTCCTTCAAAAAAGCCTGCATGGTCCTTGTCATGATAGGAAATACTGAGTAACGGAAAAATCCATCGACAATTCTGTGTTTAAATTATGGTGTAACAACTAGAATGAAAAACATCAGTGAGCATTTGACTTCACGATAGATTGTATTTGATGACAAGGTCAGTGAATCAACCAACAGACTTGCCATATTGTGACTTTAAACTAAACTGCTGATATTCTTGTTTCACCGACTTGTTTGTCAATAACTTACCTCGTTTAAAAAATTGTTCATACATACAGATTCACTAGCATATCAAATCAACAAAGAGATATAATCCCTATGTTTGCATCTGATAAGGGTGTATATTGTTGCATAAGTAAGGGAAGTTGACGATTGAAAAATTAAAGCCAACACCTTTATCATAAAGCTTGGTTCTTCGATTACCATTAACTTTTTTTCTAGTAAAATATCCAAATATGAAGCAGATATGTCAGAATCTGTGGTATCTTTTATTTATGCTCACTGGGATATATCGTGTTGACATATGAATGGAAATAATTATTGTTAATTTACAATACGTCTCGATGTATCTAAATGTCGAGTTGAAGATCACAGCAAGTGGTTTCTTTTTCACGTAACCTATAAGACTTTGACTTTCTACTTCATAGGAACACAAAAATAGGTCTGGAAATAACGGGACACAATTGGTTTCATGGAAATTCCCAATAGATTGTTAAAAGATCTAGTCTCCTAAACCCTACATAGATATTATCAATCAGAAACTCAAGCAGCTTTTAAATACCACCTTAAGAGTATTTGAATGTACAATCAAAATAATGTTGCAAATGATCAATGACAAAAAAAGTTAATTTACGGGTTCCATTTATATTGAAAAAGCAAATCTCTATGATGTCAAAAAGCCAGGACTTTAATTTATAGTTGGGAATAGAGTAGAAATAAAATACATGCTCGGATTTGTGGTTATGGATATTGCAAAGCAAAGGCTTTTCGAACCGCGCTGTTTTTAAGTGAATGCAGCTGAAAAAAAGTTTTTCTTTAGAATTCAATATGCCATTAAAGAAATTCACTCGGTTAATATACGAGGGCTGTTCAATAAATAATGTCCTGAACTATATGACATACATTACAGATACCATATGACATTAAACTTGACTTTCTCTCATTATTGAATCTTTCATGAATTTAAAACAGTTTATGTGACCACTTTTCATCACATATTTTCATCGTGAGAAGCTAAGAAACAAGGGCTTTTCGAGACACTGCATTAAAATTGAATGGTAAAGAATCAGTAAACTAGAGTGAAAATAAAAGCTTCATTAAAGCTGCCGTAAACTTGTTAAAAATCCCAAACAAATATTCGCTGAAATATGTGACATTTACAGCAACAAATGCCTGTTTCATAGACAAAAGAGCAGGTAAATTTCAATGATAAAAAATTATATAATGGGCATTAAAAATGGGTACCCTCCTTGCCAACAAAAATTATAACAACTTATGTACTGTTCGCCAAATTTCAACAAATAATATTTGATGATGCATGATTGACTTTAAGACACATAGCAAATTTGATAGACATCACATCGGGGGTAGTTTACACTGTATTTAAGAAACTTTTGACGGTAAAAAAGCTTGATACCCAAATGTCACCCTATATTTTGAAAAATGAGTTAAAAAGACAGCGTGTACGAAATTCTTAACAATTATTTTAAAATATCAGTAATTGTAGTTATCCACGTCTGTTTTATTTTCAAAAAGATATTGGAACATGAATATATTGCTTAAAGCCCTAAAACCAAAACTTACCATAAGATGTACTTGATAAAAACGGCGAATGTCTGATGATTGCACAGGTATGCAAGAGCACAAATACAGATTTATATGTAATTTTCTTAAACATTAGTGGTATTGCTGTTCAAAACCGTATTCGGAGAGACAGTTTAATTTCTGGAGGAGTCTAGAAAGCATTTTTTGGCCAAAAAATCAAAAGGTTTATTAGAGGAAGGACCCAGAATCAGGAATCCACTACACTGAATTTCTTCAAGACAGCGTCCAAACCCGCATACCCAGAAGAGTAAAGGGGTTTTCGGGATAAACAGAAAGTTAATGTTTTTTCACATAAACAATATTCGCTAGATCTTTGACCGTTTGACTTGTTTCTATTTCCAAGCTTGGAAAAAACACCTTTCAGAAGGAAGAAACAAGTCCGGGAAATCATTGGATCTGCCATTTTCCAGTATACTAAGGGTCATACCCAAAAATGAGTTCTAAAAACGACCAGAAATTGGATGAAAAATGTTACGGACATATATTTTACTTAAAAGAGGTTAATTAGTAAAATCATGAAGACTAAATCATTGAAAAGCGTCTTTTGCTTCTTTCTGAGCACCGAGGACATTATTTATTGAACAGCCCTCGTAAGTAATATTCTTGATCACATTAGGGACCAGCCTTGTATTCCACCAAATTTCAAGTAGAAGACTACACCTACAAAAATACATAGACTATATTTCTTCTAAACTATTCAATTGCAATAAAAACTTTCATAGCCTGGATATTGAATTTCTGAAACACAATCCATCATCGTGTTTATGTTCTTCTTCAACCTACAACTAAAGTCTTGCTGGATACGTCCTTACAGGTGAAGTTAATATAGTTAATCAATGAGGACCTAAAATCATTGATTTGAAGAGTACCTAAATTAAGGGCACCCCGATATATTAATAACTGGCGTCATAATATCATACATATATCATGAATTCAGTGGAAGATTACATCAGGCAATGGGCAAGATATGAAAAAGAAGACATTGATCGACACTTTTTCAAAATGGATTCAAAAGTTTAAAGGTTCCCTAAATTTTGGCCTTTTTAAAATAAATAATTTAAGGGGGTCGACTGTGGTTTGCATTGCACAATATTTCGCGCATCATAGTAAAATGAAGCGTATTTACTGTGATAAAGCATTTTTAACTATATTTGCATCCATAACAATTGGAACTTACTTAAATGTTTGCTTTAATAAACCCGTTGTGAATTGACTTCATCAGGGACGTATACATACATGTATACACAGCAACTGTATACTGTATAGGCTTCACTTTCCCATGCTATGTAATAATAATAATAATAATAATAATATGTGATAATAGAAACAAACTAGTGAGACTGCAGATGATTTAATCTGCATTCATCATCAAAGTTAATTTAAATTTAACATCTGAAAATTTCACAACAATTCTAAGCTAAAAATTATATATGAATTTCAGAAGAATCCATAATCAATTAAGTCGTACGTGACCACTGCTATGTATTTTAAAAGCAATTTTTTTCATATAAATACTTAATACATACATGTATTTTATGATACTTTCCATACATATACATATACTTATTCCATAGGAGAATAAAATAATATCAAAACTGTACAAAAACTACTTTCGATCTGTGACCCAATCATCTATCCTGAATACCAGAGGGAGTCCGACATAACCGGAAGACTTCGAATTCCTGGACTTATTCTTCATAAACCCGGAAATAATTCTTAGGTAAAAGGATTAAAAGTAATGCTTTGTATCAGCTTTGTATTGTTAAAGTGCATGCACGTTTGTTCAAAATAGCATACGTAAGCATTAGTAATTTATAATATTATGTAAATTACATATTAATTTTATCGTAATGGGTATTCCAACTCACCGATGTCATTGGATAGAAAAACACGTGTTCAAATACATGTAGAATGAAACAATGTTTAAAGTGCATATATTCATATATATGTACAATTATTGAGTGGGTTTGAGGGTAACATTGATTAGGTAATGAATAAAATATCGCCCAATGCCGAGCATGAAAACGCAGACGATATTTGTATTTCAATGTTCATTGATACTCTGATAAGAGAGATAACTCTTAATGACATAAAGGCTATTATTCCTTTCTAAATTTGCCAAGTTGAAGTGTCTTTTTTGTCCAGATGTCCCGCAAGCTATGCTAGTATCTCGCACTGTTTTTTTTTTTTGTTTTTTTTTTTTTTGGGGGGGGGGGGGTATAATAATGAATTTCCTATAATTGCAACGGTGTGCACAAGCAAAAACACGTGTTAATGCATTATGGAAATGTTTGCTCACACAGTTGCAGTTATATATAATGGAACTATGTCGTTAAAAAAATATATTTACAAGCATATTTAACTCCTTATTTGCTTAACAGCTATCATATTTACCATGGCCACTCAGCATGGCTTTCAGGGGTTAGAAGAAATTCTTTGCAATGAAAGCACCTCCTCAATGCGGTTTGAGTGGATGAGGATTGCTTCATATCACAATTTTCCCGGTGGTCTACCGGTCAGCACACTCCGTCTTGCCAGAGCTGGACTTTACTACACGGGGAATGGAAGTGAGTGTCGGTGTTACTTTTGTGGTTATAGTAATTGTGATTGGAGTAATGGGTATACCACACACTCACTGTGATCCTTTGGTTCCCCATAGAACATGTAGAAATGTACCTATTTCTCGGGTGGATGCATATGACTCCACGCCAACACAACAAAATTCTGGAGCAATTGCTTTAGTAGAGCCAGAGGCAGACAGCTGTGTGACATCGGAAAGGACTGGACATCATACAGGGCAGAATCCGATTGCTGATCTCAGCAGGTCGGTTCTACAGACTAGCGATGTTAACAGTTACATAGACAGATTGAGTACTTTCACAGACTGGCCAAGGCAAATGTCCCAACAGCCGGAGGAATTGGCAGCAGCTGGATTTGTCTACACTGGAGTTGGAGACAGAGTTCAGTGTTCTTTCTGTGGGTTACAATTGCACAAGTGGGAACCGAATGAAACAGCTTTTCACGAGCACCTGCGTTGGTTTCCTCAATGTCCATTCATCACAGAATATTTCCAGCAGGTAACGGCATTTCAAGAAAGGGAAATAATTTTGTATAATGCAATTATTATTGTATTTTAAAAGTATTCTCTCTTTTTTGAGGGATTTTGAAGATCCTTCGGTTGAGACCTTAAAAGTCAGCGCTCCTTGTCATAGTTAGTAGACGTTGGCATGAAAATGATTCCTTGCTGTACAACGGCCCTAAGTGCTGAGTAAAGGTCTAAATTTGAAGCCCTTCACCGGTATACGGTGACGTCTCTACATGATTGAAAAATTCTTGAACCGGACCTAAAACAACAATCAAACAATTAAATTCTTAACTTATTTCTTTGATTGTTGCAGTAAACTTAGAAAAATTCTGAAGCTCTGATGCAATCGATGAAGTTTATTTCTATTTTATATCATAATTGAATGTTCATGTTGAATTACATGTACTTAATTTACAGCCTTTAAGCATCATATCAACAAGTGGGTCATCAGTAATTGTTGATCCAGCGGTGGTTAGAGAGGTCTTGCAATGTGGATTCCAGCAAAGAGACATTGAGAAAGCAATGAGTGAACTTAGCATCAGTAAGTATAAAACATCAAACAAAGTTCTCAATGGAAGATATTCGAAATTCCTAGATTCTTAAACTTGCTAAAACTTTACATTCAATATATAAAATTATAGAGAAATTTTGAGTAAAATTGATAAAAATCATTCAGCTAGAAAATCTTGTTTGACGGCTTAACATCTTTGAATTAAAAAAAATAATACGAAGACAACTCTTTTTTTTCTTTCGAATTTAAATACATGCAAAATTGTTGAGTCAGGACCCGTGCGTTTCACCACCTTATAATTAATCATTTGCATGTGTTTTCTTCATTGATTTAGGTAATGAAGAAGAAACTTCCTCGGAAATTCTGAAGTATTTCTTTCAGTTGGACCACATGCAAGAAGTTGATGATGTTCATTATTCATGTAAAACGTTTCATTTTGTCGAAGATTTATATTTCGCTACTCTACAAATCTTGTATAATAAAAAATCATCTTATATATAGTCAGGAAAACACCTCTTACCTTAATGTTCGTTTTTATTTTTCAGATAAGGGGCCTTGTATGGTTTGTGCCAATGAGAGTAGAGGTACGCTGTTCTTACCCTGTACTCACATCTGCTGCTGTCGTTGGTGTGGACAACTGTGTTGTCTATGTCCACTTTGTAGAGCCAGGGTTAAGGCGCGGATACAAGTATATATCTCTTAACGAAGACATTCCAAGTTCTACAGACCAAAGATATTTTGCCAAAATTATACATAATTTATTATTTTTTTAAAATTGTTTCAAATATTTAAAAGAAATCTCATCCATCTTACAAATAAGTTGGTAACATATTACTTGGCACATGCATATATATCTTACGAATAATTTCCAAGTCTACAGACCAAAGATATGTATACATGTGTATTCTGCTAATCTTATAACTTTATATATATATATATATATATATATATATATATATATATATATATATATATATATATATATATATATATATATATTTTAATTGTATCGAAATTCAAAAGAAATCGCATCCATCTTGCAAATAAGTTCTAAATATATTGTTTGTCTTAGGTACATGCTTAGTGTACTTGAGATTTTATTTCTGTTTTGACATGTACAGAATTATTACTTAGTATTATGATTTGATTTTTAATGTGAAAGAAATATTTTGTTATATTATACTTTCATGTAAATTAGTTGAATCTGATTGGTCGAGAAACATTTGTTAGAAAACACTATTATCCGCTGAATAATGAAGCCACGCCCTCCAGCGTAGTAACAGTGAACAGTGCTTGACGACAGGTGATATTCCAAAAAACAGCGACTGCGCAGAATTTATTCGCGCACGGTTCACTGTTATATGCATTTGTATAAAACATTCAGTGTAATATAATAGATATTGCATGTAGTTGAGTGTAACATTGAAAATTTTCACCCCAAGAAAACCATTGTCAACAGGGGCGCAGCCGAGGTTGACAATGGTTTTCTTGGGGTGAAAATTTTCAGTGTTACACTCAACTACATGCAATATTTATATAATATTAATTTGACTTTACTTGTGCTATGTGGTTAAAATGTTGTTTTTGTTTAATTGCATAGACCTACAGTTGTGATTCCTTTGTGTATCTATATTATTGAACTGTATTTATAACTGTATTTATATACTGGTATTATGCAACATGAGTATGTTCAAAAACCAATTGTCTTTCAATATGCTGTTTTAAGAATTTTTAGCTCATTTTTAAGGAGCAAATTTGCATATTTTTGCTTTTTGTTTTTTATATTTACATCTCTTTTAAAATGAAATGAGGTTATGTAATACAACATTATGTGTGTTTTTTATTTAAAAATAGAAAGGTGCATGAAGGAGAGAGGGAAAGAGAAGGGAGAGAGAATATAAAGATAATACACTGCATCTTTTCCTCTAACTTTTCCTTTCCACAATTTTTGATATAGTAAAGTGTCTCATAATAAAAATTCTTAATTTTTGATATTGCAGCATTTATATTCAATGGCTTCTCGATACATCTTGCTGTATAAATATAAAATGTAAAGCCGAAGGATTATAGTACTTTGAATAGCATTGTAATACTGGAATATTGACACTCAACTTGAGTACATTCCATAAAGGGAAGAAGAAGAATTGCATTTTTTAAATTTCTTAGATCCGCGTCGTATGTACTCTGTATACGGCGCGGATCTAAGAAGTTTGATTTTACGTTAATCACTTGCGTTTGATTTATTTATTGATTTTTTCATTTATTTATTTTTTTTTTTTTTTTGTATATTCTTAAAATAACAAAAAGAACGTATTCTTAAGGATTAATTTATATCGATATCTTTTTTTTATTCTGGACTAAACAAATGAAAAGCTTTCCGGATTCTAACTTATAGTTAGTTTGACTATTACTAGTTTTCCGGTTTGATTTACGCATGTCCAAATTTTTTTTACTACACGTGAGTTTTGTAATAAAGTGCCGATCGCAAACAAACACATCAAATAACGATGTCATGGCTTTTTGGAATGGGAGGTGGGGGACAGGGACCCCCACAAGTCCCCGTACCCCCGCCAGGAGGTGATGGGAAGGGGGGTTCTGAGCCGCCGAAGCAAATGACGAAGTCTGAGATGGAAGCCTATAGATTTGACTCTGCAGCATTAGAACGGGCAGCTCAGGCTGCTAGAGAGCTAGAAAAATCAAGTAAGTGTCTCTTATATAATTTTGTGGGTTGTAATATGATTTTCTTAAGTTTTTAAGTGGAAAGAATGCATATTGTTCCAAAGATTGTGGAAAAATATTTTTCTGATGAAATGGTTTCACTCCTGTCAAACGGTTCAAGGTTATCAAGTAATTTGCGAATCTTTATGAGACTTTAAATAACATTAAGTACTTTCATGACTTAGGAAATGCCAAAGAAGCATTGGATTTGTCAAAAATGCAGGAAGAAACAAAACAAGTCGAGGCAAAGGCGAAAGCAAAGGTAAAAACTAAGTACTTATGTCTACATGATGAGTCCATGTGGACAAGTTGGTGTCAAGAAGTGCAGTGGGAGAGCTGTGTGATGCAATGAAGGAAAAGAAGTTCAGAATAAACATGAAATACTTAAAAAAAAAATACAGTTGCTTTTAGTAATTCAAAAGGTGACAAATAAAACAGAAGTAGTAGAATAACATGTTTAATCCGAATTTCCTTAAAGTTTTTATATCATTTTGATGCAACTGAAAACGAAACATTATGAAAACGACAATATAGAAAAATAAAAAAAAAGGCACATAAAATTATGCAAAAACAGCACATTCATACTATACTATAATCATTTTCCATGTTGAAGCCAGTTAATAGTAGTGTATGGAAATGTTTGATAAAAGATGCATGATCTGAACTTTTAGGAAATGGAAGCTCATATTGAACAAATGAAACTTCAAGCAATAAAAGTGCAAGAAGAGGAGAGGAGAAAAACAATGTCAAAAGAAGCAGAACTTCACCAACAGAAAGCCCAGTACCAGGATCAACTGGCTCGCCGGAGATACGACGATCAACTCTCACAGCAGGTAATTACCATCTTTATAGGGAACAAGTATTTTTAAGGAAACTGACTTAAAAATATCTTAAAATTTGTGTTAACCAGTGCTCCAAGTTGCGACTAAAATGGTCGCAAATAACGGTCGCATTTGCGACCAAAAAATTGGTTTTGCGACTAGAAATTAAAACTAAGTCGCATTTTCGCGACTGAGAAAATTTGGGCTGGCAACATCCATCTTTTTATGATCGGGATCGAGATTTACGTTTTCAAGATTCTCTATTAAGACAATGTTTGAAGATATGCACTTTAACACACTTTACAAAGCGTCGTATGGAATTGGATCACATAATGTTATGACAGCATGCTGTAATAGTAAAGTTTGATAGAACCAGAAACGTATATACATAAAGTCTCTGAGAAAATGGCATCCAAATGTCGTAAACTTTCTAGAGTTTCTCTGACCTGGTTATTAAAGTATTTGGTGAATGGCTTGCATATCACAATTAATTAAGTGTTTTGGCGGCATTGATAACGACTGTGTTATGGGTGAGATACTTAGTAGTAAGTAAACAGGTAATTAAAACACGATAAACAATTGGCAAAGTCCTGTCTCAACAACTGTCAAAGTTTTATTTTCTTTTGATTAAACTTTAATTCTAGGATCAGATTACCTGTGTTCTTTTGTGTACCATACAAAGGTTGGTTGTATTTAATAAAAATATATCCTTCAACTAGCAAAAGATTTCTAGTCACAGTAATCAATTATCTTTGATTTAATAAAAACATAACACATCTGGATGTTAGTCCATTGTTTTAATTGTGTTATTCACATGTTTTCATCATGGCGAGTGAAAAATTTGTTAATGGCGATCAAAAAAAGTTTTAGGTCACCATTTAGCGACCTAAAAGTAAGTGCAACTTGGAGCACTGATAACAAGATTATATAGTATAGAAAAGGTGTTTGGGACTGCAGTTCTATCAGGTATATCACTGGTGCTTGCAATATCACTTTTAAAGATATTGAAAATATATGTATTGCATCATTTAATTGTGTAAGTTGTAATTAATGGCACAGTAGAATGGTATGATTCATGTTGGTGATTATTTTCTAGGCAAGACTGCAGGAAGAAAATCTTAGAAAACAAGAAGAATCTGTAGCTAAGCAAGAACAAATGAGAAAAGGTAAGTATTGGAAAAGGATTTCTTATCACAAAGAATTAGTAGAACAGTTTCGTACCAAATGAAATGAGTGAGTAAGATAATCTGTAATCTAAAATTTGGAAATAAACTGTGATTAAATGTTTTTATGTAGCCACACTAGAGCATGAATTTGAGCTCAGAAGGAAAAATGAACAAGCCAGGATAGAGGCTGAGATGAAGGCTAGGGGTCAGATGGAGAGAGAGAACATTGATCTAATCAAGGAGCAAATCAGACTGAAGGCAAAGGAGAAGAGGGAGACGGTGCTAGAGTCCATCAAGTAGGACTTCAAAACAAAATAAAAAAAGGACTTCAAATGAAAATATAAAAATTCTGATTTAACAAAGAATTTTATATAAATTAATACCTGAACAATTTTTTATTGAATCAAGCAATTTCAACTTTTACAAAAATAAAATTTAATGTCCTGATCATAATGTCAGTCTTAATTTAACATCAGAACAGCTGGCTCAGTGCTTGGTACAGGATTTCAAGCCTTCATCACAGATAAAGACAAAGTGGCAGCTACAGTATGTTTATATTGTCATTAATCAACATACTGGGGGGAATTGAGATTTGTAATTGGGACAAGAGTACACAACATTTTATGTATGGATAAAGCAATTTACTCTAGCTGGAAAAAGGCATATTATAAACAAAGTTTATTTATTTTTGACTGCAAAAAATTTTGCAGGTGATCAAATATTAAAATTCAAAATGATAAATGCAACAATTATGAAGATGTATATACATGTAGATTTGCCTATAGTTTACATAACTCGAAAAGAAAAATTTAGTATTGCTTTCTCTCTGCAATATACTACCTCTAGTTATAAGTATGTAATTATTAGACTTTGCTAAACTAGAGTCCTTACCTATATTTCTAGGCTGTTGGTCTAACCATGGCAGCAGTGGGGATATATGCAGCCAAACACGGAACTGGTGTGGCCGCCCGTTACATTGAGGCCAGGCTGGGGAAACCGTCACTGGTCCGAGAAACCTCCCGACTGACCGTAGGAGAGGTCATCAAACACCCAATAAAGGTCAGAGAGATGACAGATCATTTTTATCACAAACTTTTCATCTAGTTTTGACTGGTGATAAATAACATGTAATAAGAAATAAACAGTGAGAGTGTTGTACTCTACATTTCTGCCAATTAATTTTATTTTTCAGTATAGACTTGTTTGTATTTTTCAGACAATCAAGAGAATTGTCAATAAACCTGAGGACGCACTGAAAGGAATTATTTTAAAAGTAAGTTAAAAAAAAATTACATTGGACAAAATAAATTAAAAAGATTTGTTTCTTTAATTTGTTTCAATTCAAAATCACATAATTATGTATTTTCTGCTGCAGCCAGAACTTGAAGAAAGACTTAGAGATGTTGCCATAGCAACAAGACATACAAAGAAAAACAAGGGATTTTACAGAAATTTGTTAATGTATGGTCCACCAGGCACAGGGAAGACAATGTTTGCCAAGGTATGTTTTATTTTACATGTATGTGCATTACAGAGTTATCTTTCTTTCATCTGATATTTGATCAGCATTACACATTTCAAGATGAAGTACAGTTGGAAGGTTTTAAATATTTTTGTTGTGGGTATTCAGAGCCTTGCCCAGCACTCCGGTATGGACTACGCGATTATGACGGGGGGAGATGTAGCCCCCATGGGCAAGGAGGGGGTCACTGCCATGCACAAAGTCTTTGACTGGGCCAAAGCTAGCAGGAGGGGGTAAGATAATTATAAGGGAAAATAATGAAAGGGAAAATGAAATGTGAAAATGAAGTTTAGAAATAAAGAATAATTGTCACAGCTTTTTTTACAATGATAAAGTAAATGTTTTATCATATAATTGTTTGAAGTATAAAAAAAGAATTAAAATTGATAAAAATAATAAATCTAAAATAAAAAATATTGGCAGGAAGATTTAACCTGATTTTAGGTTTGGTATTTATTATTTAAACATATTTTCTGATTTGAAGCCAAAATAGAAAGGCTGGTTACACAGTACCTTTTTGAACTAATGAAATAAAAATTATATTGATAGGGTGCTTTTATTCGTTGATGAAGCAGATGCTTTCCTGAGGAAAAGAAACAAGGTAAACATACAGTGATACTAGAGTAATACAAATAACAAGACTTATTGCCTGTATTGTTTTCCTGTAAACCATTGCACTGCTGTGCTGTATTAAATGAGCCTTCTCTTTATAGGAACTCATCAGTGAAGATATGAGGGCCACCTTAAATGCATTCCTTTATTGTACCGGAGAACAGTCTAACAAGTGTGTATCATTCTGATTTTGTAGTTGGTCTGGAAAAACACAAGTCTCCTTAAAAAAAATGGATAAAAAAAATTATATATATAAAACGAATTAACATTTAACTTTATTTAGGTGTGAAAATGACCTTGTCTTATACATGTAATCCCTCCTTTTACAATTGGAAAAACATTAAGAAAAAATCCATGTAAGAGTAGATAAAGTTGCTATCTTCAGTATTTTTGAGCAAAAAAATCTTGAATACTTACAGTACATAAAGAGCTAAGTGATACATAACACAACAAAATTTGATATCCAGGTTGATACATATTTTATACCACCACCCCTCTCCTCTCTTTCAAAAAAGGGAGGACATATTGCTTGCTGTTGTCTATCACTGTATCAGTCAGTTGGTTCACCAAGTTTCCGTTCCTTTTCCTTGCAGAGGTTGCAAGTACTGAAATGGAATTCGGTATAGAGAATTATCATAAGTTAGAATATATAGCTCAAGTTTTGTTTTGGCTACAATCGAGCCATTTTTAGCTCACCTGAGCCAAACGCTCAAGTGAGCTTTTCTGATCAAAATTTGTCCGTTGTCTGTCATTGTCGTCGTCGTTTTTGTCATCGTCGTCATTGTTGTAAACTTTTCACATTTTCATCTTCTTCTCAAGAACCACTGGGCCAATTTCAACCAAACTTGCTACAAATTATCCTTGGGTAGAGGGGATTCAAGTTTGTTCAAATGAAGGGCCACGCCCTTTTCCAAGGGGAGATAATTATGAATTAGAGAAAAATTAATGGCATTTTTAAAAAATCTTCTTCTCAAGAACCACTGGGCCAGGAAAGATGAAACTCATGTGGAATCATCCTCAGGTAGTGTAGATTCAAGTTTGTTCAAATCATGACCCCCGGGGGCAGGGTGGGGCCAAAATGGCCGATCAAAGTTTTACATAGGAATATATAGGAAAAACCTTTAAAAAATTTCTTTGGGCCAAAAATCTTGGAATCATTCAGGTAGTGTAGATTCAATTTTGTTCAACCAATGGGCCAAAATGGCCGATCAAAGTTTTACATAGGAATATATAGGAAAAATCTTTAAAAATCTTCTTCTCAAGAACCACTGGGCCAGGAAAGATGAAACTCATGAGGAATCATCCTCAGGTAGTGTAGATTCAAGTTTGTTCAAATCATGACCGCAGGGGGTAGAGTGGGGCCAAATGGCCGAAAAAAGTTTTACATAGGAATAAATTTGGAAACCTTTTAAAATCTTCTTTTCAAGTACTTCAAAGCCATGCTTAGTGATATTTATAGGGAATCATCCTCAGGTAGTGTAGATTCTAGTTTGTTCAAATCATGACCCCCTGGGGGTTAAAATTCAAGCCCCCTCCCCCTCCCTCAGTAAACTTTCAGTTCTGATCTGATATTTGCTTTTTCTTAGCCAATTGCTCAGATGAGCGATGTGGCCCCTGGGCCTCTTGTTTACAAAATTATGCCCCTTGGACTAATAAAATATCCAATCATTTGCAGTTTTCATTCCTATTCTTGGCATATATGTGTATGGGGAGGGGGGCACAAGTGTTTCACAAAAATCAATTGATTTACTGATTTATATAAAAATGTGATTACCTGGTATATATAGTAATAAATCTCTAGAGTATTAAGAAATCTGAAGTTTCTTTGGTGCTCAAAGATGCGACTTTGTTTCATATTCTATATACCTGGTAATTCTTTTCTAAATTTTGCATATATTTTTAAGATTGTGATTCATAAAGAAATAATTTTTGTCTGTTATGTAGGTTTATGTTGGTACTTGCCAGTAACCAGCCTGAACAGTTTGACTGGGCGATTAACGACAGAATAGACGAGATGGTAGAGTTCAGTGTCCCTACACTAGACGAGAGAGAACGATTGGTCAGGCTCTACTTCGAACGATTTGTCCTTAAACCTTCCATGGAGGACAAAAGGTATATTTCACAAGACTTACTATACTAAGTGTTCGAGGAGGGCTGTAGGATTCACCATTCTGTCTGAGTTTGTTACACTAGAATAATGATTATAATTCTTTTGAAAGGAAACCTTTTTCTTCATTTTGAGAGAAATCTTGGTAAATTTAAATATTTTACTGGAAAGGAGGGTGATATCTATATTGCTTATGTGGTTCTGAGAAAGATTGATAAATTTTTGTCAGTTGAAAGAGCACCTATTGTATAGTTCAAGGAAGACTGGACTCTTTTGCCTGTTACCTTTTATTCCTTATCATCGTCTGGACAAACAGTTGAAAAAAATCCCAATGTATCTATCTTACAATAGACAGAGACAATAAATAATATTTAGCTTTAGGGGAATGTGTCAATAGGAAAGATTTACTGGGGTTCAAATCCTGGTCTGGTCAATTTTATTTTCTGTAACACTCAAATGCTAATTTCAGAGTCTTGATTTTAGGTTAAAGTTGGCCGAGTTTGACTACAGTGCTAAGTGTACAGAAATATCATTAAAAACAGATGGGCTGTCGGGGAGAGAGATTTCCAAGCTTGGTGTGGCCTGGCAGGTAAGACACAGTTACCTTACATAAGTTCTAAAACTGGAGACCTCTGTCAACAGCTATTGTTCTAAACCTATTAATTATCAAATGTGCCTATGCAAAACAGGAACAACCGATAACATTAGCCAGCTGTAAGTTAACTTTTTTCAGGCTAGAAATGGCTTCAAACTTTCCAGAGCTTTCACTAGACACAAACTATTTATTTGATTGTGTATTAACTATTAATGTGTCTGTCTAATTTATTCTTTAATTAAAAAAAAAATAAATAGTTAACTTATTGAAAATCCACTGGTTCTACAGAAATCAACCAAGTTAGGCAACCCTTAGGATAATACAAGATCAAATCAAATGAATTCATTGAAACTCAAAAGGATTTAAATATACATCATATTAATTCAAGATTCTGGAATATACTACACTTAGATATGGAAAGTTTCACTGTAATATAAAGATTTCTCAGTTATCTAGAAAAAAATTCTCCTCCTGGTATTGAAGTAGATTTTGTTATGCAGAGGTGGAATGATCTGTAAGTATTAATACATCTATGATTAATTGTATATGTTTGTGATTATTTTGTAGGCCACAGCGTACGCCTCAGAGGATGGAGTCCTAACAGAACAGATGATTGACGACCGAGTGGACGACGCCATCAGACAGCACAAGAAGAAGGATCTCTGGCAGCTGGAACAGGAGAAAAAAGAGGAACTAGAAATCGGCACAGCGTACACGTCAGAGAAAGACATGGCAGCTGATTTAACGGCGCCACAGAGCAAGCCAGGGGCCGACCATAGTAAAAAATCACCGAAAACGGAAGACGACCAAAGTAAAGAACTGTCACAAGAGAAGACAGACAAAAGTACAAAACCCTCTAAACCCAGCTAACACCAGTATCACTGTAGAGGAAGACATTTATCTTAGAATTTATAGAGGGACAGAGAAAAAGCCAGAGATTTATAGTAACCGTAATCTGGTTGTTCTGTAATTTTGACAGAGTGAATGGCAACCTCTATTTAAGTCCAAAATAAAGAATATTGGCAAATATTCAATAAAATCAGAACTATCAATTAAGGTAATTAATGAATATTTGCCATACAGTATAAAAAAGCTATTTGATGTGATTATAACAGACAGTACAGACAATTAATCAATCAATCCATTGAACCTGTTACAGAATCCATTCTATTTTATGTGAAACATGAGTGCATTTTTTATTGAAGAAAGAAAAACCCATACAGTATCAATCATTCATGCAACTGCATTGATAGGTATATACATTGTAACTGCCAAGTGTTTTTAAGTGGTTGAGTAGATTTAGTTGTTTTGAAAGATTGGTTGTTTAAGGGCAGGCATCAGAAAAGTGTGCTTTTTAAAAATATAATGTACATGCATTATTTTTTATGCACTTATTAGAATTGATAAATAAAATGGTAATACATGTACTTGTATATGTTATCATATAATTGTAACACACATTGTTCCCTTATTTAATATTGAAACATCAGTACTTTGAATGCATATATATTTCTGTTGTCCTTAGATATTGTATGTATGACGGTGAGGTTATTCATAAAACAAATGAAACAGTCCTTTGTTTTTATCTCTTTACTGCTCAAACATGTATTTCAGAGGCAGAAATATGATTGTGAAGTTACAGCATATATGAAAATATTGCAAATAAGATTTAGATACGAGTATTCGTTTAACTCAATCTTGACTCAAACTGAGCTGAAACCTCAAATCAGCCTTCTAGTGTTCATTCATCTAAATACAGATTACATTTTTAACTTCCCCAAAACACAAGGCCAATTTTTACCAAAGTTGGCACAACATGTACATCTATAACAGTTTGGAACCTCTCGCCCAAATGTTATATAATAGCCTGTTTGGGTATAATCCCAAATGGCTTATAAATTTACAGTGCAAAAAAAAAAGGGAGAAAATTTTTATTAACACCCGTTATGCAAATTATGCCATGTTTCCCACTATCGTTGATGCCCTGGCATACTATACTAACTAGACAGTGATTCCTTATATTTCCATTTCATTGTGAAATAGAATTGTAGATTTAGATTTTAAAAATGTAGACATAGATTTAAATTACTCGAGGACTCCCATGCCAATTTCAATAGTCCTCGCCCACTGACGTTGATCACAAAGGCAGCCGCTTGAGATTTACATGCCCATTTGGCTTCCTTAGCGTCAGACACAGAGACAGATGCGCACGAGATTTGCATGCATGTTAGGCCTCCATAGCTCCTGACCTATCGACCTGCCTAATTTACATTCCGGTAGTATTATCAAGAAATCTACTCTAACTTTCAAAGAGTTATCACAGAGAAAAAAAAATTAGAAATGGAAATATTATGATAAGATGTAAATGATTAAAGATCTAGAAAACACACTCTGAGCCAACTGTAAAATTTCCCAAGGTAAATGAAAACCAAAGACAGGACAAAGGGGAAACGGACCGCTCACATACACAACAAGAAAATGAAATTTGTCCATATATTTACTCATTATTTCTTTACCTGTAATCTAATATTGGATGTGACAGTTTATAAATAGATCAAACGGAGAAATAATATTTCAAATGATGAATATATAAAGGGTTCCTTGTAATTAAACTATGTTGTTTTTTCCGAATTGTTGGTCAGGGTTATACAATGATGAAAGAAAATGTTTTGAACAATGGATTTTTTTCTTGAGGTTATATAGCAACAAAACATCTAAGGAGTGCTTAATTATCTGAGTTCAGTAAGTATGCATTATATTCTACAGCTTATCGAGTTAGAACTAGGAAGTAAATTTGAACAATAAGGTAAATACACAAGGCTTTACACAGATTTAAGAAAGCGTTAAAAACGGATAGTGCATAATAAAGCCAAGTACAGGCACGTAGCATCGTTTTTGAAAGTGGGGGGGGGGGGGGCCACATAGAAATTTTTTTTTTACTTACCTGAAAAAGTTGACAAGCAAAAAAAAAAAATGGGACAAAAAATTCAAAGTTATCAGAAACTCGAAAAACCTATTTACTTTCAATTTTTCCCTAAAATCCTTGATATCACTATACTATGGTTATAAAGCGCGGGGGGGGGGGGGGGGGGGACGCATCATTGAACATTTACTATAGTAAAGGTTATGTTGGGATGCTAAAAAGTGGGGTGGCCAGAAAAACCCCCCCCCCTGGCCCCACCGGTTGCTACGTCCCTGAAGTATGTATATAAAAAGCAGTGGGATGAAAATAACACAGGTTTTGTGAGTAATGAATAACAAATTGATTTTGACTTCACTTTAAAGTCTGGGATCGACATTGATATCTGGGCCCCAATGTTTCTTGGTCACCCTTAACCATGTTACATGTAGCCCCGAAATTTTGTCCACACGAATAAAATCTGTTAATCCAGGAACATAGAATCAAACGAATTATACTTTAGAAAATGATTATACAGTATTTAAAATAGTTTCCTCTTATTAATTTACTATCCATAAAATGTTTTGTGATTTTATGGATAAATTAAGAAAGACACCTGGCCTACTTAAGATCATGCGATTTTAGCATGTCAGTAGACAGTTTCCGGTCCTCCATTAGTGGAGCTCTTTTGCGCTACTTCCGGGGACCACTCAGCAGTTTATCACGGGCGGCATTATCGCTAAGACGCACAATCTCCTATTTCACTTCCATGAAAGATCTATAGAGTAATTCTTGAATATTTGTCTGATATTGCAGCAGAAATCGTGTTTAGCATTGCAAAACAGACGTTATTTTCCGTGATTGACGTGTTTCTTCTCTGTTAAAATTATAGTCTTTTTTAAAGGAACATTCCATGTTGAAGAGAGCATTCCATCTTGAATTTGCTAAATTAGGTACGATAAATTGTCAATCAAGTGTCTTTTAAATTGTATATATATAGATAGAAATTTACTGATCTGAGAGAGAACATAATGTAGGAACAAGCTTTCAAAATGGCAGGCATGCCGGTGCATATTGTCTTTTGAGTCGATGGTGTCAGGGTAACATTTATATTATAATGTATAAATGTAAATATATATATACAAATGTAGTTAGATTTTTCTGCCTTCATTCCTTCATGGCACCTGATCCTATCTCTGACTTTTTTTGGAGGTCTATGTTTCCTTTGATCCTGGTTTGTATTGCTTAAACGAACTTTTAGCTTGAGCACTGTTCATTATCCACGTATCTCATTTCACAAAGAATATTTTAGTGAAGTATAAATCAGCATGCCTGACACATTATTTTAACGATGCACTATAAACATGATAAATGCACTGTGCATGTAAATATGACATGCAACTTAGACGTTAGCGCAATGGTAACCTAAGAACAAAGCTTTTTGATAAACGTGATGACTTCAACTTTTAATTTATCGACTGCCCCCTTACCAAACTGATATGTGTGTTGCAGGACTGCAGCAAGTCTGCTGCAAGCTTGCAGCAAACAAAATTGTTCGCAGGAATAAAATTTTCTTGTTTGCAGATGATTGCCGCTAGCTGCGATCTTGCGGCAAACATTGCAGCAATTGCTTCAAGCTTGCAGCAAATTCGTAGGAACCCAAAATGTTTGCAGGAACATTGCAAGAAACATACACGCCAATGTAATGTTCGCAGCAAGTTCGCAGGAAACATTTCAACATTCGAATGTTTGCAGGAAGTTGGCAAGAACAGTAAACAAGTCAAATCAGCCAATGAAATGCAGATTGTACTGGGTCAACACAGAACTGGCCATTTTGAAATGTTTGAATTGAAGTTATACACGTTTCAGTATTTTGTTAGGAATATACCCCGTTTTGAATGATTAAAAGTGCCAACCTCTGGATGTAGGTGTTCACTGGCATCCATGATATCTAATTGGTAAGAAATGATTTTGATTTATTTTGATATTTGAAAGAATATTTCTTAAAAGCACGTTTGAGTAACTGGTGTAAATGCTGGGTCAAATATAAATCTGTTAATTATGAATTTCAGTCCTCTTTTTAATATCACATATGTATACTTTTTAAATGTATTAATGGACCCAAATCAGTTAAATGTTTTCTAATTAATTAGTAATTGTGTATTCACGATAATATTCAATAACAAATTATATGTAAAGTTCTTAAAGATCTATTCATATAAAAAGCAATCATGCACTTTAATTTAAAAAAAAAAAAGTATGAAAATTGGAAAATTTGAAAACCCTCGATGTTTTAAGGGGGTAAAATCGCTTCCCGTAACCTACAGAGCCAACAAAAAAGCGTTTCTTTGTCTAGGAACATAAAGAGGGCCTATCAAAACTTCATAAAAGTGTATCATTTCAGAAACATGTGGTGGATTTTCTCTAAACTTAACAGATTTAGGTCAGGGCAAAAGCTTTTTGTGAACTTACTGCTTGTACAAAGAAATGTGCCAAAACCATAAGGAAATTGTTTGATGCAAGTTAGCAGCAATGTTTGCTGCAAGCTTGCAGCAATGTTTAAAACCATTTTGTATTTGATTTGTATTTATTTGCCATCATAAAAAAATATTCCGGAAATAAAGTATTTATTTTTTGGTTCAGGTGTATCTTGCAGCAATGTTTGCCAAATTATATAATATTAATTGCAAGCTTGCAGCAAGGTTTCCATATTTGGAAAATCCAATGTTTGCAGCAGACTTGCAGCAAACCTCATTTGCATGGTAAAATGTTTGCAGCAAGCTTGCTGCAGACTTGCCGCTAACTTGCTGCAAACACCAAGGCTTTGTATAGATTGTCATGCTTTCTTTGGCTACATTGCCGGAAGCTTGCAGCAATGTCTGCAAAGGCAATATTTTCGGTAAGGGGGCCCTTACTTATTAGTACAATAGATCTTCATCACCTGTGTAAGGGGTTTATGCCTATATCTATCACGTTGATTCGATACGCAAGACCAAGTTCTACTTACATGTATTAACAATCTCTTAAACTAGATGAGTTATATATTTAAACAAGTTGATGAAACAAGAATATCAATCCGCTTGTTTAAAGTCATCATTTTGTAAGTTCGGTGGACGATTCAATGACCTTGTTAGCAAATACAATCAATCATCGAGTCAAATGCTGACTGACGTTTTCCATATTTATATAATTGTTCCAGACAATTATTTACAGGTTGAATTGTCTTCTTTTTTTTACCCCTTTTTCCCGATCATGACAAGGAGCACAGGGCATGCATGTGTGAGCGGTTGGCAGGCGATGCTTCCTTGTACGTGGCACCTGATCCCACCTCTGATGTTTTAGAGGTTTGTGTTTGCTTTGATCTAGATTTATATTGTTTGAATAGACTTTAGCGCTTGTACACTGTTCCTTATCTGCAAATATTTAATAAACAACAAAATGTCTACTATTAAGTATATTATTTAATGAAGGATAAGATTTACTTCGTGAAAATGACGGAATATGTGTCAATCGAACTTGCCCAAAATATGATTATTAATCTTCAGATAAAAGAAATTTATAAATACACTTTATTTGTATAACATTTCCCTGTGAAATACTTAAGCGTTGTATATTTTTGTCATGATATTAAACTGAAAATTTTATAAAGTATTTACTTCAAATTTATTTCCAAACCCCTTTAAATACTTACTAGTATGCAGTGTTACAGACTGTTGCCTGGTAAGCATTTTCTATAACAGATGAGCGAACTTTAACACAAACTTGATAATAATAGCGTGTATATATAATTTGAATGACTGTAATCGTAAAAAAAAAAAAATCTCAGAAAATACATGACGAAGCAGTTGCGAAAACAACCGTGAAATTAAATATCGATTCAACGTCAAACACATCATTAAACGGTGGTAAATGAATCTCAGATTTTCATTTATGTAATGTTTATGAGAATTTAATCAACAAAATAACTCAATTATCTAAATACAAATGTCAAAAGTTCAGCCGCCGCTGATTAATATCGACCAAGTTGTGTCAAATTTCTATCCAAAATCACCGTCATATTAGGCAACCAAAGGGGAAGAGTGAGATACGTCCCTTAAACTCAGATGAACGTAACAGATTGTGTCATGCGACGAATCTCTGGAACCGAGCGAAGATAACTTTTCACATCTTCTCGGTCCACTTTGTGTGGATTTTTGTCAGAAACTTTATGTCTGTTATCGAGATTTCGTCAGGCGCCATTTTGTCGATGGAAAAGGGGAAAAAATGTGATGATATCTCAATTTATTATTCCTTTGCAAAACAAAAAAAGTCAATAAATTGATAATTTCCGTCTTGGAATTAATTTCAGTTTTCATAGTGATGCGTTTGCTGTCTTATTTCTTCAATTTTACTGTAAATTTTAGAGCAGCAATGCAACTGCAGCTCAACAATGACTCGCATATTTCTGTTTCTAAATAGCGTGAATTAACAACATGTTAAAGGACATAGAGAACGTGATTGTATGCTTTTATGAGTCAGATAATTAAGCTTGAATAGTAATGGAATAAAAGATGATAACTAACAGTATTCAAACTTCGAAACAGATTAAACTATACACATTTTGTAGCAGAGCAGACAGGAGATGTGGAATCAGGTGCTAAGGAGGAGTGAGCATCTTGTGCCAACCGGTCACAATACAGATACAATATTATATAATTATAGCCTTTAATGAGGTCAATCCCTAGATATATAGACCTTAGAGAAAGCATATCGACCGAGCACGGAGCACGGAGAAGTTTAAATCAGAAACATCCGTTTTTTAACACTTTTTTTATACCTGATCATGTGATCAGTGAAGTCTGAGCCAATCAGATAGGTTGCAATATTAGAGACATATAATAAAAATCTCTTAAGTAGATTGAATATAGATTATGTAGAATATTGTGCACTTTCATTTGACTAATTCTTACTTTTAAATTCATTTTCATAATTAAAGTCTGATGATTAAAGTCTATCCTCAGTGACGTCATATGATCTGAAATCCCAGTCGATAACATGGGGTTTGAGAAAATATTTCAGGGGCCTATACTCTAGTACTTCACAAACTTTAAATCAAGATAACAAGAAATAGCAACGAATAATTTTTAAACAATATTTCTCTGACGCTGTTTTTTTTTATATGCGTAAAATACTTTGGTTTCCTATACCTTGTAAAATGTCATATTTTCCTATTATGTGAATAGTTTCAAATTTTTAGTGTGTCCAGATCGATAGATCTGGGGCGTATATTGTTTTTGTACTATCTGTTTGTCTGTCTGTCTATTGTCAACTTTAACCATTCGATTTAACTTTTGAATCATGAGAGATACATGTAGAGATTTCGTATTTGGTATGCATACTCCACTAACTAAGTTCTTTCAAATGACACCAAGGTTAATGACGTTGTGACCTTGATTGTGACCTATACGCTAAAGACAGCTTTTTCGAACTTTCGCCATAACTTTTGAACCATAGGAAATAGAGACTTCATATTAGGTGATCAAGGTTAATGACCTTGTGACCTTGACTGTGACCTATATGCTAAATATATCCTTTTTCAAACTTTGTTGCCGCCGGGCGCATAGTGTTTCATAAACACTTTTTTTTTTGCTGACGAATATCTTTTTATCTTCAATCCAATCATAGTTCAGTTTTTGATCCGTGTAACCTCTCAATTATAAAGAATATATGAAATCGTGTTTAAAAATTTTTTTAAAGGCATTAAATAAACATATTTGATCCTTCGGGATATTTTATTTTAAAAAGGGAAACTTCAGCACAAAGAATGACCTTGCATGAGTTTATTTGCTCTGAATGATTATTTGCATGTACCCTTCAGTGTATGAAATATTTTTGAAAGAAATTACACACCCATTGTTCTCTAGTTTGCATTGCTTTATTAGTTAGTAATTCAAACAACTTCGGCATAAACCCTTATAACAGTGTATAATGAATCGATGAACTAGTTTTATCCTAACAATGCATAATTGATTGAAATTCTTATTATATATTAGATATATTGATCTCTAAATTCTGAGACTTTCTATAACATTAAATTTGCTATACCAATCTGTACATTTTAATTGAAGAATGAGAGAATAAGAAACAAGTCGGAATTTAGTAAAATGTATAGAGATAAAGAACACTTTTCAAAAGTCCATTTCCTCTGCCAACCGCCATGTGCTCCTTGTCATGATCGGGAAATAACGAAAAAAAAAATCCGTCGATTCAGGATGTATAAATACATGTAATGAATTAACAATTAGTATGAAAAACGTCCGTCGCATTTAGATATTGAAATCATGAATGTATTAGGGTAATTTCAGTTCTTATTAAAATGAATTAAAATTTAACTAAAATGTTAAATGTATATGATCTTTATTATATCTGTCATTTCATATTGTTTTTATAAGTCTGTTTTTATAAAGATATATTTAAAAGAATATAATGACTGGTTTATTCTGTTTGATAGTTTCTGTGTAACTCAGTCTGACCTGCATTAAGAAGGTTTTACTTTATAGTAATATGAAGAACTAAGTATCAATGATTTTATTAAAAAGTCAATAACAACATGGATTAAATAAAACAGATTTCTCTGTTCTGGGCAGCATGATGAAAAAGCTTTGTATATGCTTTATCATGTTTATCGGAAGTAATTAACATATAAATGGTTTAAAGATTAGTTTATCGAACTTAATAGTTCATTAGCTACCTCAACAGCGTTATAGCTATCCTAGCTATAGCTATTACTAGAATTTTACAGCGGCTAACGGAAATTTACTGAATGTCCACCAACTCTTAACTTTTTATGCTAGGTTGGTTGACATTAAAAAAAATTTTACTCTAAAGTTAATCGTTATTTTGTTTGGATAGGTCAACTGACGTTTACTGAACAGTCAACCTTTCATTTGGTACGCTTTACTGAGCAGCTAGCCATTAATTTGTTTCTTAAGGTTAATAGGCATTAACTTAGCAATTAACCTATATATATGTGTGGAACAACACAGTTCTCTCATTTAGGCAACCCGTAGTCAAATGTGACTTAAGGTCAAAAATCTAGTAAATGACTTTAGACTAATTTTTTGGTGTTAGATCCATTATGACGTCATAATCAATTTCAACTTTCTTTTTCACGTACTTTACGGCTTTAGAAGAATTATGTAGAAAATGAGATATTTTCATGACATTCAATTTGAAATCATGTGAAAAGTAAACCGGATACCTATATTAAATTTGATATTATTTTAAAGAAGAGACCATGAACATACAAATTACCGTTTTCTGAGAGACTGTAGGCAATCTGGATACATTTCTTTTGTCGAATATGAAAAAAAACCTCCCATATTCAAGACTGGTTTTCTTAATTTTTCAATGAAAATGACAGTTTAGAATATGGTTTTTCATCTTGTTTACCTACAAATTATGCCCCGAAACACCTTATTTGACTAAGCTAAAGTTGTAAAGCATCAATAAAGGAATTTATTTCTCAAATTTGATAAATCTGTAGGCACCTTTCATTTACTAGATCTTGACCTTAACTATAAACTATATTTCTTAAAAATAAAATGTGTACCATTAAAAAATATTGGATTGTATTAAACATATTAACATCTGATAAATGTTGATTCTTACAAAAATTATTTCATTGACTTGTAAGAAAAATACAAACAAACGAATTACTTGAACTCGACATTTAGATACAATTGTATATCGACTACATATTGTCAATTAACAATGCTTATTTCCTTTCTTATATTTCCATTCAAAATATACTCATGCGCTAGAAATAAAAGATACCACAGAGTCCGACACATCTGCTCATATTTGGGTCATATCCCGCTTTGTGTTCGATCTTGTCACAATCTTGAAAAATGAAAAAAATCTGAAAATAAGTATTGGACCTAATGATAGAATAGGTCCTAATGAAGACAACATGGACCAAAGACGTCCATCCAATTGCACAAGGGAAATAAGAAGTGATCTACGAATTTTCCCTTTTTCGATCTTGACAAGGTGAATGTGATCGGTCGACAGGGGATTCATACTCCACCATGGTACAAGATCCTACCTCTGATGTCTTGTAAGGTCCTTGGTGCTCTGTTTGGAGTTTGGTGTTTCTCTTTGGTGCTCTGTTTGGAGTTTGGTGTTTCTCTTTGGTGCTTTGTTTGGAGTTTGGTGTTTCTCTTTGGTGCTCTGTTTGGAGTTTGGTGTTTCTCTTTGGTGCTCTGTTTGGAGTTTGGTGTTTCTCTTTGGTGCTCTGTTTGGAGTTTGGTGTTTCTCTTTGGTGCTCTGTTTGGAGTTTGGTGTTTCTCTTTGGTGCTTTGTTTGGAGTTTGGTGTTTCTCTTTGGTGCTCTGTTTGGAGTTTGGTGTTTCTCTTTGGTGCTCTGTTTGGAGTTTGATGTTTCTCCTTAGTGCTCTGTTTGGAGTTTGATGTTTCTCTTTAATGCTCTGTTTGGAGTTTGGTGTTTCTCCTTAGTGCTTTGTTTGGAGTTTGGTGTTTCTCTTTGGTGCTCTGTTTGGAGTTTGGTGTTTCTCTTTGGTGCTCTGTTTGGAGTTTGATGTTTCTCCTTAGTGCTCTGTTTGGAGTTTGATGTTTCTCTTTAATGCTCTGTTTGGAGTTTGGTGTTTCTCCTTAGTGCTCTGTTTGGAGTTTGATGTTTCTCTTTAGTGCTCTGTTTGGAGTTTGGTGTTTCTCTTTGGTGCTTTGTTTGGAGTTTGGTGTTTCTCTTTGGTGCTCTGTTTGGAGTTTGGTGTTTCTCCTTGGTGCTCTGTTTGGAGTTTGGTGTTTCTCCTTAGTGCTCTGTTTGGAGTTTGGTGTTTCTCTTTGGTGCTCTGTTTGGAGTTTGGTGTTTCTCCTTGGTGCTCTGTTTGGAGTTTGGTGTTTCTCCTTGGTGCTCTGTTTGGAGTTTGGTGTTTCTCCTTGGTGCTCTGTTTGGAGTTTGGTGTTTCTCTTTGGTGCTCTGTTTGGAGTTTGGTGTTTCTCCTTGGTGCTCTGTTTGGAGTTTGGTGTTTCTCCTTAGTGCTCTGTTTGGAGTTTGGTGTTTCTCCTTGGTGCTCTGTTTGGAGTTTGGTGTTTCTCCTTGGTGCTCTGTTTGGAGTTTGGTGTTTCTCTTTGGTGCTCTGTTTGGAGTTTGGTGTTTCTCCTTGGTGTTTCTCCTTGGTGCTCTGTTTGGAGTTTGGTGTTTCTCTTTGGTGCTCTGTTTGGAGTTTGGTGTTTCTCCTTGGTGCTCTGTTTGGAGTTTGGTGTTTCTCTTTGGTGCTCTGTTTGGAGTTTGGTGTTTCTCCTTAGTGCTCTGTTTGGAGTTTGGTGTTTCTCCTTGGTGCTCTGTTTGGAGTTTGGTGTTTCTCTTTGGTGCTCTGTTTGGAGTTTGGTGTTTCTCTTTGGTGCTCTGTTTGGAGTTTGGTGTTTCTCCTTGGTGCTCTGTTTGGAGTTTGGTGTTTCTCTTTGGTGCTCTGTTTGGAGTTTGGTGTTTCTCTGGACTTCTGATGTTACCTACCGTGTTTATCTGTATATGTGATCAGAGCAATGAACGGAGTTACCAGAAGACGTTAGAGGTGGGATCAGGTGCAATGGTTGAGTAATCATCCCCTCTCCAGCAGGCACACCGTGAGCATTTGTCATTCTTTTGGTAATTATGAAGCATGTTCTGATAATAAATCAAACATCAAAAATATCAATCACTGATATATACATGTACACCTTTCTATAAGAAAGATCCAAAATAGGAATTTTTTTCTTTCGCGTGTCTTTCTCAGTGCGTGCAGTTAACTTTTTTCTGAATAAAAAAAACGTACATGTAAATAACATCATCTGAATATTATCTGAAATTATTTTTTTCAATATTATGAAATAACAAAAATAAGAATATTAAAAATGGTAGATTTCATGATTACATTATGACAGAGGCGGCAAAAAAAGTTTATTGACATTTCCAATCTTAAGGTAAGTAATATATATAAAAATAATTTTTTCCATTAACTTCTTTAGAAATAGAATACATGTAGTATTTTAAACAAATTAAATCATTTGTATAAATTAAACATTGCATGAAACACGTTACATGAGCAAAGTTTTAATAAGGCATAGTTTATCCCTACAGGCCATTTTTAAATAATTCAGATATATAATCTTATTGTTGAGGACCTGTAGGGGTGCTCTAGGTCGTTCTCTCTTTATGTTACTTTTATAGCTGAAGCTGTGTGGGATATTGCTAGAAGCATCATCAATTTATGCAACGTTGTCAACATAGTGAGAATAATTTAACGCTGAGAGCGCTGATAGGAATATAATTCTCAGTAAAGGGTAGGTATATCAGGGAAGTGTTGGGTATATCGGCATTGTTACTGTGCGGTAGTTCAGCTTCACTTTATCAAAAAATAGCTAGTCTTATAATGCGGAATAATTCCATCTTGATAAGATTAAGCAGATGAGGAGTTCAGGGAAAAGAGACGCTTATTATGAACTAACCAGACCCTTTCATTAAGGTTTCTGTTCAAAAAATGGATTTTTATTCTAAAATGAACAAAAAATCATCATGCCACGAAAAGGGATTTTAAAAACCTGCAACAAATGTTGTGCCAAGGTAAGAACCGTTTGCATCTTTTGTTATCGCAGAATTTCTCAAATATGTCCTGTCAAGGATACGCAGCTCATATATTATTTACTACTTATCGAAACTTGTATTGTTTACTTTGTGAAACCAAAATGAACCCTGAGAGAAGATTATAAAAAATCATTAAACCTGTAGTATTTTCAAATTGATACAAAAGAAAGCATCACAATGCAAATGTGCTCATTAATAAATCTATTGATATTTCCATTTTTGAAAGCAAGGTATTTGTTGAAGTTTGTCTGATTTCTATCAGTCGTAAGGTTAATACTTTTAATAAGGAATATATATATTCACTATAACCAATGAAAGGTACTGTAACCAATCATTGAGACCGGACCTTTCAGGATCAGGTCACACATACATAACGAGTACTTCGCTGATGAACCTATTGTACTTTTAGGGTATTAAGGTTAATCTTATGTTAGAAGTGAACCACCCGTGTCAAACGGGGATAAATTAAACTATGGCTGATATTTCAGATGTAGTCATTAATAAAGCGTCTCCAGGCGATAGTTAAATCTGAGATATAGATAAATCATGGCCAGAAGTTGAAATATAGATAAACAATACAAATCCCGAGTTTCTCCTCCAGAGACTCATTATAATAAATCCTAATGAAGAGTATGTTCCATTCATTCAGAAAATTTAATAATGAAAGGGTGATAATTAAAGCTTTATTGATTATTATTTTGACTTGTTGACAATTAATGAAATTAACTCAGTGTCTTTCATAATCTATGTGTACTTTTAAAAATTCAACTTCTTTTTTTGTTTTTAGGCTTGACCATTTTTCACCATAGCACAAGATTATCTTCTAATGTTTCAAAACAATTTTAAATTTTCATATTTAATCGAAATATTCAACTTTGTTGGGAAAATATCACAGTAAGAGACATCCGGGTCTCAAAATGCAGTCATTTCTTCAGCTTCTCTTCAGAATATAAAGCTTAAGTCAACTGAAGTAATATTTAATGGGCTGTTTCAAAACGATAAAAGAGGAATCCTCTCTTCAAGGTCAAGTATGAATGTCAAAAATATTTAAATTATCGTTGTAAACAAAATTGTTGAAAAGATATAATCTAACATGAAACTACAAGTCCATTGTACGAGGGGTGATCAAAAAGTTCGCAAACTAATTGAAAATGTCCATACAAGAAACAATATTTGGTTTTAATGTTGATTATATTTTAAATTAATCCTCCCCGATTTTAATGCACATCAACCACCGTTCTGCGCATGCGCGAATCACGTGATATTGGCGGTCACGTGACCCCCTCCGTAGCGTTCTGTCACAAAAGTTAAAAGATTTTTCCGAGTTTTATATTTCTTTCCATGTGAGTTAATTTTTATGACAAGAACAGTTAATTTGTCAGAAATGGTCATATCTCGGCAACAGAATGGGTGGAAAATAACATCCTTTCCAAAAATAAGCATGGTGACCATTAAAACAAGGTGTTTTCAAAGTGGATTCAAAGTGGATAGAGAATGGGTGCATCCTTTTTATCATATCTAATATGTTTAAAATCTAAAGTAAACAATATCTTAGGTATTTAATACTTATATCATTGTTCAAATATTCAACTATTTTTCAAAGTGCTAATTGGAGGTCTTTGATAGCAAATTGCATGATTAAAAATACATATCTTTTCAAACTTGCTTTCACTGGGCAAGATGACAAGTATCATTTTTAACCATCAGCCTTCCTTCACTAAAACGATTAATCCAATCATTAATTAAATTTATAGGAACTCATTTATCTCAATAAACTGTGTACAAATTATCATATAATACTGTAGAGGGATTTCTAAGATATTACAATAAATTGTACAGTCGTTTGTTGAACGAGTTCGACTGAGACAACCATTTTTCGTCACAAGTGACCTAAATAGTGACGTCATTTTCACATTGTGACGTCACAAACAAGGAGAGAAACTTTATTCAGCATATGCTCTTTATAGACCTTATGTATGGCTATGTGTGTACCGAATTTCATTATAATCTGAATGGTGTTTTTGTAGATATAGAAATAGTTTGCGAACTTTTTGATCACCCCTCGTATTAATAGAATTAAGTTTAGACTTATTACTTTTATAGAATGAAACTGCATGCATGGAATTACTCATTAAAATACCAAAACTCAAGTCTTTGGATATGATATCTACAATCAAGAAAATATATAAATTTAAAGTTTACTTATTTTTTAGTTTAAATATGTACTCTAATAAAGACGAGGAAAAGTAAAATATATAGTTTGATATTCATTTTTATTCATTTTTATTTCATGTCAATATGTTGGAACATTAGTTTTGCTCCTTTATTTCAGGCGAAATATTATTTATTCCCATGTCGCAGCATTTATTAGACAAAACATCATTGAACTGATACATTTGAGTTTTTGTACAACATGGAATTCACTATTTTTAAAACAAAATAATTTCAGTATTTCTTCTTCAATATAAAATACAATTAAGTAATTTAATAATTTTACCAATATGAGCGAAGCTTCTCGTCTATTATATGTAGCAGACAACGTTGTGGAACTTGAAAGCAATCTGAATTATCAAGCAAGATAGTTTTATTCTTACTCAGATTTGATTCACTTACAATTTTTCTTAGTTTATCATAGTTTTTTGCATATACGAGTATACAAATACCAGATACATTTAAAAGAAATTTATAAAATTTGCATACTTAAGCTTTTACTCCTTTTTTTACGAAACATAAACTTGTATATTTAACATATTTTGAAGAATTCTACATGTACATTTTGGAATGCATATTATAGATGAATACTTATCATACTTAAAATAAAATGCATTATTTTTTCAACTGCTCGAGGAGTTTATCAATTATCACAATGTATGGTTGGAATAACATTTGATTTACACAAAGAAATGCTTATTTTGGTTGTTTACATGAAAATTAATGTTGCAGCTGTTCCCCTAAAAACGTGTAAAGTGATTTTGTTATTTAAAAAAAAACAATAACAGCAAAGTTAATTACCATCATGATTACTAATGCACTCACACAAAAAGATATTTTAGAAAATGTATAAAATTGACAAACAGACCGCTCTCAGTATAACATATCTATACAAACAAAACCAATCTGTTCACAGGGTATAAAACATGGGAACCTGCGAATTCCAGAGGTTGAATCAGGGGATGTTTGCTCGTCAAAGGCACCTAATCGCACCTCTGGAGATTCCTGGGGGTTAATGTTTCATGACATGTTCACAAATTCGTATTTTTTCTTTTTTTATTTTTAGATCAGTCGTTATTCGTTGTTTTGAGCATTTCACATTTCATTGGTTCAGAATTCTTGTTTCCACCAAAGTTAAACAACTTTGTAACGACATAAACCTAATCTGCCTTAGATATATGGTGACGATAAAAATTCAGTGCTTAAAAGGTATTTGTTATGCTTGTAATCAGTGTTTGACGTGTACTTTCAGTATTTCCCATTTTGAAAAAAGATATAGGTAACAGAAAAATGTATTATTGATGCTTCTCTATTGAAAAGAAAATCGTGAGAAAACTACATTCTGCCGTTTTCTGCACATTCTTTCCCTTCTGTAAACCCAGAACAAAACAATTTAAAGATTTCAATTAATAAAAGAATTCATGTAATTTTTTATTATATCATTATTGAACTGAACAAATGTTTTTTGGAAGATGAGATGCAAAACATATTTACACATTTATCCTTCAAACTTATTCCTTTCCGTGTAAATATTTACAATTAATGTAACCCAACTACTGCGTCTCTAATTAACTTAATTAAAAACGCGAAAAGGCTATAATTGTAAGGCTAACATAAAAATTTAAAACACAAAGAATGTTAAAATTCGTGTCAAAACATAGCTTATTTACATTCTTTTGTCAATACAATATATCCCGTTAAACTTGAAATAAAAGATACAGTAGAGTCTGACACAACCATTTCATATTAAGATATTTTACTAGAATAAGACGTTAATGGTAATTAAACAACCAAGCTTTATGATAAACGTGATGATTTTAAATTTTCAACCATCAACTTCCCTTACATATACAGTAATATATCTTCATCACCTGCATACAGGGTTTACAGCTGTAATATCTCAGTTGATTCGATACAAAAGAGCCCATGCTTTACGCATGAACGATTTCAAAAAAAGAGGTTAATTATTGACAAACAAGTTGACGAAACAAGAATATCAGCAGTCTCCTTTAAAGTCATAATTTCGTAAGTTCTATAGTCGATACAACGACCTTGTCAGCAAATACAATTTATCATTGAATCAAATTCCGACTGTCTGTTTTCATACAAATTATTAGACCATTATTTACACACTGAATTGACAACAGATTTCCCCGTTATTTCCCGATCATATCAAGGAGCAAATGCGGTTGTGACTGGTCGGCAGGGAATGTTCACTCCTCCATGGCACCTGATCCCTCCTCTGATAATTTGTAGGTCTGTGTTTGTTCTGCCTGTATTGAATTCTTTTATGATCTTTTGAGCTTGAATACCGTTCTTTGTCTCCATGTATTTCATTAAAAAATGATGTAAAAATTAATTATTATCACAATGCTTAAACATCTCATTAAAACAACTTTTCATTAAATTTTCATGGAGGAAGAGCTCAAACGATATGTATTTTCCGCTGTATTTTTTATAGCTCATCATATCTTTGCTAATTTAAGTTGAAATTAATTAGGAAATTACTCATTGGAATCTTATATAATTTATTTTTTTTAAAAAAAGGGTTCAGTATATTTTACATTTGTCATATATTTTAAAGGATCTTCATTTAATTATGTTAGGTAATCCACTATGTATAAAAATATGTAGATAACGAACAGTATTTAAGATCAAAGGTCCATAAAACTATACAAAATAGGAGCAGAGCAAACACAGACCTCCAAAACATCACAGGTGTGATAAGATCCCATGGAGGAATAAACATCCCCTGCCGACCGGTCACACCCGCGGTGTGCTCCTTATGATTCAGCTGATTATCTGAAGAAAAAAAAAAGGATTTGGGTGATTTACATTCCATCGATGTCCTAATGTCTTCTATGTTACCAATAATTTTACTGAAACATTTACTTCTCATATATTTAAGTTTACACTGTACCCTATGATCTGACTTACATACATACATGTATAAAACCACGCAAGAAATCATTTAAAAATCATTTCATTATCACAAGTCTCTATCATTTCGATTTCTATAGCACCCGTCTGACTAATCAAAACATCCATATAAAGTTAAGAATACAGGTAGTTCAAAAATACGGATAGTTCAGATGTCACTCAATTTGCCTGTGGGAAGGCGTGTACAATGTTGGAATTCATTGGTAAACGTATTGCTGTCAAATACTCTTTATATTTGATGATACATGTAAAGCTTTAGTTGATTCAAATATCCGGGAAAATCTAAAGACCAGCAAAGCAAAACAGTCACCCGTGGTCTATCCCGTCGGAAAATATACCCAATGAACTTAGAATTACGTTGAAATACATAATCTTTTGATTCCATAAAGTGTTTAGAATTCTTTTAAATGGTTGATACCATAGGGTTGGATATAAAATACATTCTCTACGGTTCTTTACCTAATATGACGAAGTAGGAAATTTTGCTGTATATACCAATGTGTACCTAAAGCACGCTTCATCGAAAATCCGATAGACTTTTTGAAATTGTACTTATATGCGCTTCCGAAAAATGACCGTTGCCGATCTCTTAAAACAAAACTTGCCAATCTTTCTCAGACAAAATTGTTTTTGATGTATGAGAGAGAGAGAGAGAGAGACAGAGAGAGAGAGAGAGAGATGCAAAAAAAAAAACCAATTGATCGATAACTGTGTATTTCAAGCACCACTGGCTGTCAAATACAATTGGCATTAAGGACCATCAATTCGATTAGAGACTGTTTATTCTACAATAGATAAGCATCAAAGAGCTTTAATTTTCTCTTAATATTCTACTAATGAGGAGAGAAAGTAGCAACAGACATGCATAATTAAGCAGCTTAGCGCCACTTTGTAAGTTTACGCACCATCTTTCTGACTGGCATTAAGGACACTTTATAAAGACAAAGAACCTACAGGATTCTATTTCTTCCTGTTTACGTCACGGACTTTATAATGTTTATATGTCATTAAAGGATATGCTGCACTGATTTTCACACTTCCATTCACATATGATTACATTATTATTTAATGAGGACTATTCAGGTTTAATATTCAAACTTAACAAGCTAATTTGTACGGATACATAGTTTATTTCATATTAATATTGACTTTGATTTCTGATTTAAAGATTCACAATGCCATATTTACATTTCATTCTTGTCCCGTGGTGAATGTATTGTTAACTGTACTTTAATTGTGTTACAAACTTCAACTTTCACAAAAAATTATAATAGACTATTATTAAAATTTTGATGCTCTGATTTACTTCCAAACTTTTCACTGGTTAGTTTTTGAATATATTCATGATCAAAATCTGTAAAAATAAACATTAAGATTAAAACTCATAATTATAAATGTAAATATACAAGTAATAGTTGTATTCAATATATAAATGTGCATATACTAATTGCAAGTATAAAAATTGTTGAAAATGTTTTAAATAAATTTAGAACACAATAGATTTAATATTGTTAAAATTATGAAATAATTGTTAACTATAGTGCTTTTTTGTTTTGGAACTCTAGATCAGAAATCGTCTTAGACCTGGAGACGCACCTTAGAACTCTGAACAGGATACGAACCTTTTATATCATTATATTTTCCCTGAAGAATAATAATAAAGAACAAAGTTAGAATAGTAAACAATGATCAATTTTATTAAAATTATTTATCCTGTAAATAAAAATAAAAGGGAAACATTCAGTCTTCTGGAGACAACAAAGGTGAACAGGGTGACACGCCTGAGAGGTAGGCGTCTGTCTACAGTGCAAACTCGCCCTTAACCCTGTATGTAATGATGTATTATTTTTCACACAGTACTATATTGTATATCAAAGATGATATGATTGATAATCATGTTTGAGTTTTATTATGTATTTTCTTTTACATCATCGACAGCTGTTTTTTCAATAATTTTCCTCGTTATTTTATTAATCTATATTATATTGTTACTGAGACAATACTTTTGGATCAACCCTCGTAATACAATTTGATTGTTCACATGTTCTCTGAAATTGATAATAAAAAGATGCTGGATTAATTGCTGATTGACAATATTTGTGTGGTTGTTGGAGATCAAGTCTTCCAACAATCAACTGGAATTCCCGTCGGTACCCATTCGGCACCTTTTTTTAAAGAAACTTTTTAAAATCAATACATGTATGAAACAGAATCAATTTAAAATAAAACTTTCTCAGGTAAAGAAGTGATATTGTAGTTCTCAATGCATGTTGACATATTATCAGTCAACAATGATCATTTTAATTGACCTTCGTTGATTCGATATATACCCTGATCTCCAAATAAGGCTGTCAGAGAGTCTAACATAACTGCTAAAATGATTGATATTTTTTGTAAAAATACGTCAATCGTAAAAGACAACTTATAATGATGAGAAACATGAAGACTTAAACTTTCTTTAATGTTAACTGCCCCTGAAATCTGAAGCAGTGTACCTTTATTACCTGCATATTGGATTTTTTAATGATAAAATTTGTTACGCATGCTTCACTTAAAAACAATGTCTTTAATGAGGCCATTTTCTTTGTCGATACAACAAATCAAATCACATTTAATAACAAACCACTATACAGATATAAAAATGTATGAAATAATAATATTGAACGAGTGATTGAAATCCCTGTAACATCAATTCATTTATCAGGTACTTGCATTGGCTTAAATTCGGAGGTCTTGGAATGTGTTTCGAGATTTCCCTCAATATATATGGAGGGGAATATGTTTTCCCCTCCAGCTTCAGATGGAAGACAAAAAATTCAGGTGATGAAGGAATTTTACTACATGTTCATTAAATAAGGGAAATCGACTTCTGGTAAATGAAACATACGGAGATAACGAACATAAACCGATTTCATCCAGTGGTCATCAGTAAAGCGAACAAACACAAATATTGAATTAAAAAGATGACAAAAAATTCGTGATGTTTTTTGTCGAATACCAAAGGTATAATTTGTTTTTGATAATTAATTAATGTACATGGAACCAGGTAAGCAGCAGGTATTTGTCAATGCCAAATGTATTAAAACAAAGATGACAATTTGTTATCTTGGATATTGTTTAGATTCTAAATTTTAAAATGATTTGGAGACAGCTGCTATTTTCCTCGCACAGCAGGAATATTAAAAAATTAAAAATTGTGGAGAATTATTTGCTCTCTTCATGACGATAAAATTGACACAAAGAAATCGATGAACCTTTACTTGAGAGAAGTGAATTATAATAAGAGGATTTAAGAGTCCATTTTTGATCTTTTTTGTATTGAGTCAGTTAAAATAAGGATAAAATTCAAATTTCACTTTTGATTTTAAGTTAAGTCCTTCAATTGAAATAATAGATATAATGTAAATGTAACTCAGCTGAATCTTCCAATATTTGCATTCAAAATTATTTGTGTGAAATTCATGGATTTGAACTGTATGACAAAAACTGAAAATAAATATTCCCGCAATCCTCAATATTTCCTGATACTTTTAACATTTTAATATCATCGACATTACAAAAATCATGGCCCAACCATCCATCGGTCTAGGATTGGGATTTTAGAGTCCTGCTAATGTCTGAAAAAACTATATATTCTGAATCTGTTTACTTTCAGTCATCTTTCAGAAAAAAAAAACTGTTTTCATGATAATGGTATCTTTTGGACTTCTTACAAATATTTTAATATTCTTGTCTTTAGAAATTTAATTAAGTTGTTCTTTTCACCTATGCAACGACTATTCCTTTTGTCCATTTTATACACTTTTTATTATATATGTGACACTAATTATTGGTTATCGATTTCTTTTCGCTTCCCCTAGGTTGGTAACGCAGGTTTACCGCTTCACTTGTATGAATTTATCTCGTAAAGTTTATCACGCAACAACGCTGCGGAATGCACAACCTCCAAAGGAATCATATTGACAGAACGATGTCTAGTTTTAGTTGACTCGGAGAGTTTTTCCAAATTAAACATCATGATTTCTTTTGTATATTCAAAAGCCATTTTCAATTTGACAATATGAATCTATCGATGAATAATTTACCAGAAGTGGACAGCAATTCATCTCCCACAGTCGAGAATATCGTGGAAGGATGCATCTTAACAATATTATCTCTGGGAGCCATTCTAGGAAACACCACCATGTGGATCATAATCTGTAGGAATCGGGAGCTTCGGACTATCACTAATGCCTTCATTCTCAGCCTTACGACAGCGGACCTATTTGTGGCTGTCATCAACATTCCAGTGACGGTCCTCAGTCTGTTTCATGGCAGTTGGCCCTGGAGTGATAGTGTGTGCCGATTCTTTGGTTTTACAAATATGCTAACGTTAGTGACAAGTGTTATGTCTCTGTGTAACATCAGTATTAATAGGTATATCATGGTATGTAAGCCCGTCTACTTCAAAAGAATATACACCAGAAGAAATGCTGCTCTTATGATTTCGGGTGAGTTATAATTGTTCCGTCCAATTTTTTTTATATACCTTTGCATTATCCCCTGAGTCCCAGCTGATAAGAAGATAACTAATAACATAATCAAAAACATGCTCATCTTGCATTGTTTTAAAAAATAAGTTTGGGAGAAGTAATTTAAAATAAAAGATGAAATTAGTTCTTCATTGTCATTTTGTTATGCTCTTCAATTTGATTAGAAAAGTCCTGAATAATCATTTCATCTTGTACAATATAAAAAAAAAGGCATGCAGTATATTTTACAGAACATGCAACATACCATTATAAATAATAAAAGCAGTTGATTACATAAAATAGGAATTATCGTTAGAATAAATAAAATTTTTCATAAAAAGAGAACAAATGTATATTTCTTGTTTATTTCAGCTTGTGTACTCATCTCGATGTTCCTGTCGAGTTTTCCTCTCTTTGGCTGGGCAGAATATGCGTTTATAAGGAAACAGATGTTTTGTTTTTGTGACTGGACTACGGCCCCATCCTACGCTTTCTTCATGATCTCTGTTTGCTTTGGGATTCCCTTCAGTGTTATGACAGTTTGCAATGCTTTCATATTCAGAACAGTGAGAGCAAGCAAGCGGCGAGTAACTGCAGCTTCTGGTAATGTGGGTTCCTCTAAAGTTGATGACCAAGAACTTAATTCAAGCACTCCAAATACAGTGACGAAAGATGACGTATCAAAACCTCATGACGTCACAATATATATCAACGATCGATCATCCTTTCATCAAAGCGATAATAATCGTGCTGATAATCAATCAAGTATAAACACCAATAATAACGGAAAATATTTCAATAGAAAAAATACTACATTGACCAACATGAGTAGAAAGAAATCAAGAACAGGTAAATCGAGGACAGAAGAGGTACGACTAGCAATGGTTCTAGCTATTGTGGTGCTCCTATTTGTTATATCATGGCTTCCTTATTGCGTCAGCATGTTGCTGGAAATTTTTGCAAAAGACAAAGTTCACAGCGCGTTTCATATGGCCACGATTATGTTGGGTTATTCTAACAGTGCTATTAACCCTATTGTTTATGGCGTCATGAACAAGAAATTTGGAGATGGCTTCAGACGTCTTTTGTGTTGTTGTAAGAAGTTTTAATTCAAAGGACCACACTACCATCGAATTATTTGGAAAGATTTTTGTGATCCGTGGAAATCTCTAATGGTTTATTCAAAACGGGCACATTATGTATGTGAGCAATGTATATAATATGTATTGTTTCATAAGAAAAACAATATAATTGTTCTGGGTTGTGCAATCTGTAAATTTCGAAAATTAACCTATATTTTTATAAATTGTTTTTCCTCATGTTGACTTTTTTACTTACAATCTATGAGTCTTTGAGGTGTATAAAATGAGACCAAGCTTTAATTCACAATTTTCAGAGTCTCATTTACATCATAAAAGAGAATTGGTATTCATTGTGTAAGTAGAACTTGATTAATTCACTCGTCATGCCAAAAGGGATGGATTAGCAGTTGTATTATTTTCAAGACTTATTTACGTCATGTTTTTGCTAAAAACAAACTGACGCAAAATCTAAACAATGTCCTGAGACGTTACATAATTTAAGAAAATTGACTAACTGCAAAATCAATATAACATATATTACGCAATTTTGGTTTTTACCCATCAGTTGATTACACCAGTAATCGTTTAAGTCGTTGACCTGCCACTACTTTACAAATGAAATATATTGAGATATAACAAACAGTATTCGAGATCAAAAGTCCATAAAACAAAACAAAATAGGAGCAGAACAAACACAGATCTCCAACACATCAGAGGTGGGATCAGGTACCATGGAGAAGTGAGCATCCCCTGCCGACCGGTCACAAAACCCGTTTGCTCCCTGACATGATCGGGAAACAACGGGAAAATGTGTCGTCAATTCTGTGTATAGATAATGGACTAACAGTAAGTAAGAAAAACGTTTTTGATTCAATGATAAATTGTATTTGCTGACAAGGTCATTGTATCGACCAAAGAACTAACGAAATGATGAACTTAAACGAGAATGCTGATATTATTGTTTCATATATTTTGTTAGTCAATAAATTAGCTCGTCACCTGATCCCACCGCTGATGTTTGGAGATCTGTGTTTGCCCTCCTATTTTGTACTGTTTTATGGACTTTTGAGCTTGAATACTCTATGTTATCTATATATATTTCATTTTACAACGTTTGCGTTCATCAAGAGCTTGGATTTAATTTGTATTTTTTTTATCTGAGGCAGGCTACTCAGAGATAAGTTGATGCTTCGGGGATTTCAACAACGTCGTCTAAAGCCACCCGTTATTCATAAATTTGATGGCCTTCTAATGTTTTTTTTTGGCATATATAACATTTGAGTCAGCTTATATTGATTGACCTCAAAATAATTCAAAACAATCGTAAGGCTTTCTTTTCTTACTAAATTCTAACCATGAAATGTTTCGTCTTATGATCCACACATAAAACTCATGGGGGCACATGATCCCATCCAAAATCCTATCGGTTGGTAATCATGGCTTTTTTTCAGATTTGTATAGTTTTTATATTTCATTGAGATTGGTAACTAATTTTATCCTTTTGTGGCAAAGTTATTACATGAGTTTAGTTTTTTCATCTTTAAGAATAATGAAACTGTTTTAGGTTGACGTTTTTCTTTAATAAAAGCATAAAAAGATTCAAATCAAATAGTTAACTTATGTTTATATTTCATTTTGCTGTCCCCACTTTTTTGATTAATTAAAAAGCAAATTTAAGTAGTGTTCTCTTTTATTTGATTTCAAGTGCTCATGCACCATCATCAAAAAATATAAATAAAAGCGAATACATTTTTAATTAAAGAATGCCACATTCCGCCAGCAGAGGGATCTGTTAAACAATTGAGCGCGGTTTATAAAATGGTGTTAAAAACTTCCTCTTCAAATCCTCTTATACAGCAGATATCACACATTTTTTTTTGTAGCTCAACATTTAGAAATAATTGTCAGTAACGTGATTTCAGATTCCGTGTGATTATATGAGGCCTTGATCTTGACACCTTTTCATGTCTTTGCGTCTTATATATAAGGAAGTAGTTAATTTTAATGTAATTAACACTTTGATAACTAGTTATATGTTCCCTCTAATCAATTAGCTTGTAATTTAGATTTGAACATTCATTAGACTGAAATTTTAACATTTAGAGAAAAGTCAATTATGAATAGTATTTTTTCCCTGTAAATTTGACTATGGAATGATCTGGTCACCTGATTAATACATGGGGCTTAATGCATTAATTAATTGATTAATTGTGACCGGATACAGTAGGGGGTGCATACTTCTCCTATACACTATCTTCGGGGAGTCCATTTTCTTATAGAATGTTTTAGAATAGATCAGTTTCAATTATCTTTACCTTTTTATGCAGCATGCCAAAGTTGTTTGATCTTTTTTGTTTTGTTCCATATGATAAAGCGTTTTCGTCACACCGATCTCAAGGTACTGCTATTGTTGTATAATGACAATCTTAGACTTCGAGAAAGTTTTAAGCTTGTAATATCTGCCATTATTTTAGTTCCGGGTCATGTAAGATACAAAAATGTTAGACTTAAATTGAACATAAATTAGTGGAAGAAAAGGAAGATTGCAGATTTTGGATAAGTATAATGCTCGTCATTTTCAGTAGAAGCAGATGAACTCACGTGGTCTCTGAGGTATGTGTCGTGTTTAAATCTCCTTTTATATTGTGCGAAAATTTCCTTGTCATCCTTCTTAAGACATTATGTTTCACGGATGAATAACTTGATGCTAGTGTTAATGGAGATCTTATAAAGCAACTCCTTTACATTACAAATAAATCAATGAGAAAAGATTTCTTATGTACACATGTATTCAACAAAGGAATGACAAAACTTGTACAAAAATAAAACACAGTTATGAATTCGGTCACTCGTTGGTGTATCTTACGACACTGATTACTTGTTGGTGTATTTTACGACACTGATCTTTTCTTTGTGAGAAATCCAGATTCGTTTCAGGCAATCCACCAACAGTATGGTAGGATAAAGCATATTATCTCTTTGTGAAATTACAAGCGACTGGAAGTGTCCACCCTCGGTCAGCTGATGGACGCTATTGCCTTTCCAATTCGAGACTAAGAGCGTGTTATCAAAATCACAGAACTTCACGTCTATTGGGATGAAATTACTGCTTTCTGGACCCCCATCGTATCTGAATCTACAGACATTGTATTTGTCAATTGAGATTACATTTTTGAAACCTAAATCAGTAATGTATAATGTACACTTTGAGGGGTTTTCTGCAATTCTATTTGGTTTTCTGAATAAGATTTCACCATCAGCACATGTATCTATCGTTTTTGCCACTTTTCCATCATTTGACAGGGCATAAACAAGACCACTTTTGTCCAGTTGGCAGCAGACATATAAAGTTTCGATGTTTCGTGAACACAGCACACCAAATGTTAAATAGGGTGATGCATCAAAGAACAGATTAATGTTTTCACTGTTTATTTTCATGATTCTTGATCCTTTGTTTTCAGAAGCAAAAATATCACCGGTATTTGTTGTTGTCATGCTCTGAACATAAAACGGAATTTCTCTTGATTTCTGTCTTTTGGCATTTCTATCGTAGTAATGTAAAACCTTATTTGTAGAATAACCTATGATGACGTCATTAACGCTTGTTTGAATAATGTCAGACACCTTGTGACCAGATCGAACCGGAAGAGCGGGAAACGCGAGCTTTGTTTCGACAAGTAGCTTCACTTGTTTTTTATCACTCTTATCGGCAAATTTCTGTTCCCTGCTTCCACGATCATATTGAATACTACCGTACATTGTAGCAATCATTTTTGACATATCATCCTCGGTGATATTAAACTTGAGCTCCGGAACATCTGTAGGAGTACTTTTTATGATATTAGGATATTGTTTAATTTCGTCCGCTAATCTCATACAATTGTTTTCAATTTGTAATGCATCACCGACCTCACAGATATTATCGTCACTGCAACGCCGCCGAGTATCTTCTATAAATCTTATTTTACCCTGAATATCCTCTCTCGTTATTTCACCAGTTTTCTTGACATTTGTTACAAAGCTGTCCACTTCCTGGCAAATTGTTTGGTAATGTTCCCTTAGTTTTGTTTGAATTAATTGGTACCTATTTTCAATTTCCCCTTTCAGAAGCGATACCTCTTGTTCCATTCGTTTAGTCTGTGTGTCAATCTGCTCCATCTGATTTTGCAGATCTGGGATAATGTTTACTGCTTGGTCGATGGCAGATGGTAGTCTTTCTAAAGTTTCATGTAGTAAAGATTGTACCTCTTTGATAATGTGTTTGGAATGTTCTTCTAGAGATTCTTCCCAAATTAAACTTTTGCACGGGACACAAAAGAAATTGGTACCATCGTTTCTATCTTTTGAATTATTTTCCTTATCTTGAGACATCTAAAAAGACATTTATAAATTTCATAAGGCTAGTTTTTTTTAATCTGTTCTTAATTTATAGATATTTCTCATGAAATTTTCTAATTGCAATTGTAAAATAAACTAGATCTTGATTTCAAAGTAAAAACCAGGTTATGGCTGGTATATTGCCAATTCCTTGTTATACAATCACTAACAAACACTCCTAAACAGATATGCAATTTAGATATATGATTCCTTATAAAATTTTCATTGTATATCCGTAAGTTTAACCACATCCTTTTACAGCATACATTTCTCATTTTTCAAACTAATTATATTAACTTTGTAAAGACGAGACACCAGCTATTGTATTTTTAATGACTCTAGTCGGTATGATGCTTTGTTCCTTACTTCATGTTTTTGAAATGTGTGAATCATTCTCAGAAATATTATCATTCATCATGTATTTTGACAATTATATGATATATGAATATATGTAAATACTCTTTTGCATCAATTTCCGAAACACGAGAAAAAAGTTAGCAATTCCTTAATATTCTGCAGAGAAGCATTCATTTTTATGACCAAATATGCACTTTTTGTCAACATTTATGAATAAAAAGATAAAGAAAATATTAAAGCTTATCAATTTTGCAATATACACGAAAAGGGTAACAATAAGACATGCCACTGTTTTTGCGTTATTTGCGATATTTAGGAAGGTCTAAGTCATGTTCAGTTTCTGAAGAAAAAGTATATCTACCCTCTGTTATTTACTAGTAAGTGTCTTAATTTACTTTATTATTCCAGAAATATAATTTTTACAATTTAACATATATACATTAAATCTCTCAATCTTTTTTCTTATTTTACTGATACTAAATAATATTGACTCATACCTGGTCTGTTTGCATACGCAGATTTACCTTTAGAAGAATTGTTATTTAATTGTACGGCTAATTTTTATTAATTTTTACTCATCGGATTTTTCTGTTTGTCTGATCATGTCAAAATACAGACATTGGGTGAAATCGGTCTACTTCGGTACTTGTTTCTCATGGCACCTGGTCCGGTAACAAATATTTTAGAGATCCATGTTTGTTTTACACCTGATTTGTTTTAAATGACATTTCAACTGTTCGCCATGCTCATGTTTCAATAATTGATTGTTTTCTTGAGTTAGAAGAAAAACGTATTGATTTTAAGTTTAATTTTTAATGTATTCCTCCTTTTCCTTATACTTTTGTAGCAAACTGTGCCAGTAAATGAGGCATTTCTCTTTTGTATATAAACCAAATAAAGCTTTTCCAAAGTCGCGCAAGGGACTGGATAATTAAACATGTCGCGGTCTTACCTTTACTTTACAGACCGCTGCAGCAATAAACTGTTCATAGACTGTCTGTACAGCTGCACGACTTCCTTCCTAGCTCTATTACAGCAATAAGAACGTCCACGATATCAGATATCACGGTGGGCGTCGTTAGTCGTACTTTACCCTTTACTTAATAAAACCAGTACAGATAGAATCTCCTCATATTTATTTGTTTTTATTATCTTTATGAAATTTTTATACTTTATCAACACACGCAGGAATGAAATAAAATTGTTTGATTTCTTCTCTCAAAATAATACTGTCATGAATTTCAAATCACGTTAACTTAAGTGTTAATTTACAATAAAGATTCAATAGATCTAAGATATTTTAGATAAAACAAAAAATAAATGAATAAAAAAATGATTCAAAAGTTAAAAATGTCTTTTATTTTATTTTAGCATGAAACACAAAACTTACAATAGGGAAATAAAAAAAAATGAGATAAGAAATAATTAAAAACCTTTAAAGTCAATTGAAAAATACAAATCGGCAGAAGTCAATATAAAAGCAACGAATGGTTAACGTGTCGGAGATAAAGCGTACAGTAAATCTAGACAGACACAAAGCATAACGGCTAACACACACTGAAGATGAATGACGGCAAAGATAATTAATTTCCTTATTGACAATATCTATTTAGTGTTTGAAGACATGGTCTTTTGATTGGAATTGGAATTGGAATTCCAATGGGTACTAACTTTCATGCTCTATTATAAGCATACCTTTATAATACTCACATTAAGCAGAATTTATTAAAAAAAAACTCTATATAAGAAGTAAGGTTGTGACTGTTGCCCTTCGCTCGACTCAACGATATATCGACGAAATTTTATCAATTAAACAGTATTCCATTTATTCCTACGTAGACCCAATATATCTCGAAATAAAGAAAATAGGGGAGGATGACAATTGTTTTGTTTTAAATTTTTTTTGTTAAATATTTATATAGATACATTTTTTTAAATGTTATGACTTCAATTTTTCTTGTTCAATTACACTGTACATTTATTATTGTAGTGATATTTCTTTATCACTTTCAGATGGTGAATAAAACATGTTGGTCATTAAAACATGTTGACTGGTGTTAGCAATCAGTAGTCCTGAGATGATCACTCCTTCATGGCACCTAATCCCAGCTGTAATGTTTTTGAAGTTCTTGTTTGCTCTGCTGCTATTTTGTATTGTTTGATAGACTTTGAGCTTGAATACTGTTTATTATCTTCATATATTTCATTTCAACGATATTCTATTGTACTGATACATGTATGCCTTAGTGCGCAAGTAGAAGAATAACAACAGGTTGAACGTTCTGTATGCTGAGAAGATAGATTCTTATCTATTATACTTTAAGGCATTGCTTACTAAATTATTTGAAATAATTAAAAGCTTATTGATGTAGATTATGATATGGAAATAAAATTGAAGGTAAAGCCTATCTTTAAGTGTATATTATGAAGTCTAAGATCGGATTATTTTTTAATTATCACTCGATGCACATCAATTCAGAAGATTCAATAAAAGTGTGAAGATAAAGAACGATGAACGATCTATGAATTTTGTAAACAATTCGATTCGTGGAGAGGCAAAAACAAGGACCTTTGTAAATACCGATGATAGAATCAGATGTCAAGGGGAGAAGAATTCGCCTGTCGATCCGTCACACTTACAGTGAGTTCCTTGTATTAATCATGTAGATAGAATAAACACAGACCCTGAAATGAAAGTCTTGCTTTCGGCTGGTTTATTATGATAATTTTCGTTTTGATTTTATCAAATTTATTGCACATATGTTGTTACAAAATATAAAGATAACGAACAGTAATCAACCTCATCAGTCAGTTTGAACAACATAGATTAGGAGCAGAGTAAACACTGATCTCTAAAACAAAAGCTGGATCAGGTATCATGGAGGATAAAGCATCACCTGTTGACCGGACATGTCTAAATTGAACCATCCGCCAACCAAAAACTATATGCATTTAAAAATAAAGTGATAGAAACTCAAAAGTGATACAAAAGCTGAAAGTAGCAAAAGAATAAAAAACCTCAGTGTTACGAGGAAAAGTATTATCTTTTTGATATCTTATGATAGAAGTGGTAAAGGCAGGTAAGTGCGTTGGGGAGGGGGGGGGAGTGGAAAAGTAATCCAAATGTATTTAATGGTGATCTAAAGGTATGTGCGTATAGGAAAATGGAACAGTTCCTTACCCTTAAGATAAGTCTCACATGACATATTAAATGATAATATTGATTTAATCTAGTTCAATCGCTTACTGATATTGACACGTTCTATATATTGATTGTAGAAAAATGATAAAAGTCAGTCAGCACTTGACTTATGATAGAAAGTCATTGTTTAGACCACAGAACTTGCGAAAAGATGACTGTAAACGAAACTGTTCATATTCTTGTTTCATATAGTTGTTTGTCAATCAATTGCCTCCTTCTAGGGAATTGTTCGAACGTAAAACACGTTTGTATAGAGTCAACTGAGAGATATACATTCCATATATATAAGTGATATGTACATTGCTACAAAACTACATTGTAAGATATCAAATTCACTCCAGGATCATCCTAGGAACAGATTGTTTTATCTCCTAAAGATGTAAAAGACCAACTTACAACTAATAATAACATATACAACACAACTTTTAATTGTCAACTAATAATTCAGACTCACTTGCACGTTTCTCACCCAATTTTGTTCGCAAGAATATCTTAAATGCATTTTGCTTTGAAATTAAAGCAGACTTCTGATAAATAAGCCAACAATACAGTAAAATTCAGCATTCCGAAAAGTCCATGGTCATGTATGACCTCAAATCGTATTGTTAATTATGTCAACTATATTTAACTGGTTATTATAATTTTAACTGTAACTTTTATGCTAAATCTATTATGGATTGCCCAAATTTCTTTAACCAGATCACGTGAGAAGGTTCAAGACAAATGTTTACGGTCGACATGACTTGTTTTTTCCTCCTGACCAAACTTCTGGTAGTTCGAGAATAGCGCTTGAATTGCTATAGTTGCCATTTCAAAGCAATTTTTACACTCAGGTATAGAAAAAGGAACTTCTTTTATCATCTGTAAATATAAATCATAGAATACAATAATGTAACCACAATGCATATCAGTGATGCTCTATTATATTGAATGAAAAAAAAAATGTTATTTAAATGAACGTCAGACCTCTACTTTCTTACAAGAGAAAGGGTAATATCAATAGTATACCGAAAACTTTGCTTCATAAGAAAGAACCTGCTGTATAGGATATTCCTTTTACGGAAAAAAATTCTGGGAATGAAATTATAAAGCCTCCACGTTTAAATTTATCATATTCAGTTTAGACTTTTAGGGCGTTTGTTGCCTTATTTTTGACACTGTAAGCATTCTATTTACAGTGGATTTGTACCACGTGCTACTGTTTGTTGGTCGGATGTTACACTAGGTCTGAAATACACATCCTGTTTACTGTATTTTTGTACTGTGCGTATCTCATTGCGTTATACTGTGAAATAAAGATTTTATGATGGTTACTGCTGTATATGTTTCTTTCTATGACATGATGTGCTTAATTGGTTTCGTTTGTATTTTGTTTAACGTCTCTCTCGAAAATTTTCACTCATACAGAGACGCCACCACTTGTCGGTGGGTAGTTGCAATTTTTGTCCTATGCTCGGCACTTAGGGCCATTGAGCAGGGAGAGACGTTTTTTGTGCCAGCACCAACTGC